TATTCTGTCTAGAACAATAACATAACCACATGTTCTTCTTAAACATCTTGTTACAACCATCAAATAGAACATATTAAAATTAGGATTAAGAGATTCTTTATTTGTCCTAGAGTGGGGAAATTTCAGTGTTGCATCACAAGTTACATACAGTAGGAATGAGGAGCCCACAACACAAGAAATATGAATGAAAACTGAAATACAAATAAAAATCTCTAACTCATTAAAATAAGCAGTATGGAATCTCTATCTTTAGCATAATGACGAAACTTTAGCACAATGAAGAAGCAAGACTTAAGTACAAAATCTCTGACTTAAGCATAATAAACTTTTTGGAAACCCTTTGGAATATCAGAATTGGCTATTTTACTATAATTACGAGTGAAGCTGCAACAAGCACTGCAAAGAAAAGGCACAATTTGTATACCGTATGCCAGAGTATTTTTTTTGGTTGTTACAAAAAGAAGGAGTTGGAAAGATTGTCTAATTACAGTAGATTGATCAACGGATGGTTTTTGGCAATTCCTCTTCCAAAGCTGAAGCCAATATCACAAACAAGATTTGCATACTTAGACCAATAACTAGTCTGTGAAAAATAAAGTCAAAAATGATTTTAAACGACTACATTTATTTCTATTGCATTTTTGAACAAAGGCTTAAACTGGAATGTTGCACTTGACCCAGCACATTTACAGGTAAGGACAAAAAAGATATCTATAGATAATGTCAGGTTAAGTTGACCGTTTGTTTGTTTGTACTCCTTCCCCATACTACATATTCTGAATTAGTCACAAAAGTATTGATCATTTTAGTCATTTTGTGCCTATTATTATATGTTATACCTTTGTCCTGACAGAACTAGACCAATACTGTACCATTCTCTGATAATCCTGTAAGCAAAATATATGTTCACAACAGATAAGACCTCTGATTTTAGTTATTTGATAGTAATTTAATTCAATTCAATATATTTTGGTATATAAAATCACAATATTAGTTAACTCAAAAGACAAATCATCGATTCACCAACACAGATCAGAGAATCAAAAAGATCAGACACAAGAAATGCAATGATAAAAAACACATACAGTCACATTGGTCCATTAGGGACAGATGATCAATGTCCATAAATGTTGATTAAGTCCATAAATGTCGTTGAATCCCGAGTGTCCTGGACGATTTGTAGCCTATAAGACAATTACATCAACATAACTATCTGCAATATCTTTTGATAAACCAATTCACACAATCCAAACGGGTGACCTACATGCCCATAAAGGAGTGTTCACCCCATTTCTCTGGAGTGTGGTCTTTTGGAGCAGTCTGAACTGGGTTGGGGGCCTTACATAACCAGTGTCTGCTTTCTCCCAGATCCTCAGCAGCTCGTCTTGCCCTAATCTCTTCGGCTTGATTACTCTCCATCCTCTCCTCCTCTCGCTCACTGTGCCTCGGGCGTGTGGAGGCAGCAGCGAGCCGCCACACTCCGGTTTGGAGCAGATCAGAGCAGAGAGACCACAGGTGCATGAGCTCTGAGAGGACCAGACACGCAGCATGACTTCCATTATGATTTCAGTTTACTTTTGAATGGGATGAGAGTTTACACAAATGGCCTCTCAGTGTTGATACCATTGGATAGTTTTGCATGATATAAAACTGCAAGGAAAATGCACAATTAAAACTCGTTGGATTCCGGATATGCAGATCTTACAAGTGGTAAAATCATGAAGTCAACCACAAACATATAGGAAAGTAATTTGTATTATTCTCCAGGGCTCTTAGAGGGCTTTTCACAATGCAAAGCAACGAATCTATAATTTCAATAGGAAAATGCATATTGGCCACAAATGTTAAAATATTATTGTATTGATCTTATTGTACCTTTTATGAGCTCACTGCAGTGATGTGTGTGTTTTGTTTGTATTGCTATATTAATGCATCTTTACTCTCATGCACATATTTTCCATTGCAGGGGGACAGCATTGGACAAAAAGACTGCATTTGAAAAACGAATTGAGTCTAGTACAGTAATTGAAAGATGGGGTCAGAGCTCCAAACACTCAACAAAGCACACAATGTCCTGGTATAAGGACATTTTTCAAAAAGAAAGAAAGCAATAGAAACAATAAAACAATAACGCTTATTTTCTTGTAACTTTATTACAAGTCAGTGTTTCAATATGACATCATTGTACTGTGGAAAGGTCACGTACTTTAAATGATTATGAAAAGTATGCTAAATTAATCACAAGGCAGCTCAAAGGCCGCTCACTGATTCCCATTCACATCTATTTTTTGTGACAGATAAGCTTAAACTGCAGTGGTAAACCTTTGGCCTTTGCAATGCCCTTATCACGTTGTAGATTGTTTTTTTTTTAGTCCCGGCCAGCAGAAAGAAGATGGAAATCACTGTTATTATGAGGTGACATATGCGTGGGAAAATAATAATAAATCTAAAAATATGTCCACGATTTTGTATTTGGCTCATTCACAGTTACTTCAAACCATCAGCTGTCGCCACTTGACAAACTTCCAAGCATCTACAAAAAGACCAAGCAGGAAAATTCTTCACATTTAGTCATCTCTGTTTTTTTTTTGATTTTTTTTTGCAAGAATAATGGTGTGTCTCTTGCGGTAAAAATGGACAGCGTCGATTACAGTGATATAATTAATAATATCAGCCGTAATGAACAAATACAGACAAGCAAGATATGTTCTAAAAAGCTACAGATAAATGCATACATGCATTTTGAGATTGTATCTGTTGGGGAAATCTAATGGATTTGTTTTGTTCAGCACTTTGAGTTGCCTTGTGTATGAATTGTGCTATACAAATAAACTTGCCTTGCCTTGGATGCAACACTACTGCCATCTGGTGGTGATGATCTGAAACAACTGGGTCAATTTATGTAACTCAATTCAAAATCACAGACAGAGCATTGGCGCCATCTGCTGTCAACATTTTAGAAATGATTGAAATGAGTAGTAGTGATGATAATAATAATAATAATAATATCCAATAATCTATCAATCCATTTTCTTCCCCTTAAGAGCTGCACCCAGTACACATAGCACCAGCCCCCCACTGATCCTCCTGCAGGTGGTGAGTCCACAGGAACCTTGAAGTTCCAGTGGGGGCTTCAGGCAAAGTGGGGTTAAGTGTCCTGCCCATGGACATGAACGACAGTAGTCATCAGTGGAAGTCATTGGAGTGGGAGTTCATAATAATAATAATCATCGTAAGTTATAATAGTACCCTAAAGATGAGAAGACCTACATTATGTGTAATTTGTGTTAGGAATATTTTACTTAGTTGACAACAAAAATACACCTATAGACATCGAAACCCAAAATTATAAGAAGTGAAGGCGTTTAGAAAAAATTAAGTCTTTATTTCTTTACGTTTGTCTAAATTACGTTAAACCGTCACAAAATAGAGGTTCATAAATGCTACACAAATCCTTAAAAAAAGATACAACACCAAGAGGCCACAAGAGGGCGTTGCATTTCCATGAACCCTGAACATGCAATGAATTGTACAGGGTTGAAATACTTTTCAGAAAGAGATAATTATGAGGCTTTGTCAACAGAGGGAACAAAATCATTCACTTTTTTAAGTTGAATCTTTTAAAGAACAAATCAGCGTCAATGGCTTTGGGGGATACATTTTAAATAGCCCTCTTTAAGTTGATCCTGAAATGTCTAAGGCAACATTCTTCAAATAAAATCAAGCTTTGTTTCACCACTTAAAATGAATCAAAGACATCACAGTGAAGGGCAAGTCCTATGTATTTGTATAATACTAAGAGTGTGGCTTCTTTATAAAGTCGGCAATAGCAATCAACCAGGTCATCCGTAATAAACGTTGTATATTCTAAACAGTTTATACAAAATATGATGACAAAATACATTGAGCAAGCAAACAGTGAAGTCAGATTACCACTGGAAGAAGCCTGCGCAACATTGGCCGGAAAATATATCAAATATCCTCAAGCAGGAGGTAAGTGGCGTTATATTATGTTGGCACATACAGCATAACTGCTCAAATCCCCACAAGTGCACACGCAAAGCTACAGGTTAAATACAAAAAACACTCACAGAAATCAGGTGTCATATCAAAATGGACTGTCTGCAATTGCATAAACAGTGAAATGCCAAACTCCTCTGCAAAAGCAGGTTATCAAAATGTCGAGATTCAGCGGTTACCTAACATATCAGTGAAGTGCATCAGGCTGACGTTTGAAAAGGCCCAGATACAGATGTGTGCCTTCCTGAAAGCATGGGCATTGATGGGCATTTTTCATTATGTTGGGTCTAATAAATATCTATACTTCAAGGGCATGGTTAGATTATTGACACAATGTATGGGCATGGCATTGAAACACATTTTAAATGTGTGTTTTTGTGTTCTAGCATTTGTTTGTTGTTATGTCTTTCTGAATATGGCAGATATTGGACATGTTTACATGTAGGTTTGTAAAGGTTGGTTAGAACAACTGTGCTGCTACACCGAGACTAAACATGGCCGGTGGACACCGTTTCTGAATATCAATTAACTACATCAATGTATCTTCTAGAAATGATTGACTGGTACATGAATGTTATTTTCTGAATCCATTATGCAACTGCAGCACTGGAAAACCAAGAATATTCCATGCCCCCGGTAAGCAGCTCACAAAATGCCACATGTCACCACCTGAGCAGTCAGTTAACTCTCCTCTCAAAATGAAATATACAAAGAACTGGATGAGGGCCACTGCCAGACCAAGAAAACACTTCACATAAAAATATTATTCGTAAGTAAGTATCAATGGCTCTTAAAAATGTGGACTAAAGTCAGTGGTTGGACTTTGGATTCAATCTTCCCAGTTTAATTACTTTGCATGCTGCAGCACTGAAAAGACTGTTGTTAAGATCAAGAGACAGTAAGCAGTGAGCATGTTGACCTTTGCAAGCCCCTAAATATGTATTTATGTACAGTGCTGGGTCCTGCAGTGGCTGTAGGTGCTAGGTGCCCACACGTTCACATGGCAGATTGAGTCGGACCTCTCCTCCACCAGCTGAGGAGGCTGAGAACACCGCAGCACCGGACAGAGAGGAGGGACCGTTGGCCTCCATGGTGAAGAGATTGCACGTCCCTGCTCCGGCCTGATTCTCGAGAACTTTTTCTGGACTGGACATCTGAGAGGATCCACGGGACGATGTGGGGCTGAGCTGTACAGCTGTGGTGTCCTGCAGCGTGTGCTCACTTGTCTCTATCTCAAAGATTGCTCCTCCAGCCAGGCCCCCATGTCCCATTAATCCTGTACCCCTGCCACCCACATTAGAGTGACGTGAGCTGTGTGGAGGGGGCAGGCGGCTACACACACAGCATGCCCCAAAGAACGAGAAGGCCACAACCAGAAGGATGGGTCCGATAATGATTGGCGGATTGGCAGAAGGCACCAGTGTGCTGAAGGCAAACGCACCCACCAGGGTGATGTTGAGCCCAGCCAACATGATGCAAAGGCCACATGCACAGCACAGAGCTGGGGAGGGCAGGCCGTGTGGCCGGGACCTCCACTTCTTCTTCTGAGCCTCCTTTTTCGGGGCTGTGGAGTTACTTTCTGTGCCCACCATGGCTGTGTCTTCTTAGAGTGAGGTGTTCTTCAGCATGGCTTTGGAGAACTGGTAGCTGTCCAGTCCACTGAATAGAATCATTATGTCTGTAAGAAAAACACAAATTATAGAAACATAACAAATGTGTTTTCTGTAAAAGAGCATAGCACACACCCCAATTTACAATGTTATCAGCTGTCTAATTACATCTGAGCTCTGACGCTTCCTCCTCTTCATAAAAAATATGACACATTCTCGAATAAACAAAGGTTTGTGTCACAAGACTGTTTTCAAGTCCAACTGAAAAATGTACTGTAATTGAATATCTGATCCAATGAATCGAAGCACACTGGGCTGGAATGCACCGCAGCAGAGCCATGGCACCGGCATTGTGAGCAACAGCATGGAGTGTGAAACTATATGAGCTTATTCTTCAAAACATATGTCAGACTGATAGAAGAGCATATGACTCCAGTCTGTGAACAAAGACACATTAGATACGTTAGATAAAATGCCATTGTCCCTATGTTCCATTGAACCATCTCTCACAATCACAATTGAAAACACGGGTTACATTCAATTAACCTACAATAGAATGGGCTGAACACATCTTACCAGTGTCGAATGATTCTCATCCTTTGTCACGGATTCCCAACGTAATGCTGCGTAATTGCAGAACGTAATTAACGAGTGTTCTCACGCGCTATACACGTATGCTTTTCGCCGACGTTTCTGGGTTTCTTTCCCTGAGGCCACGCGTCATGCCCGCAACTCGAGCGTCCGATCGCACGTAACAGGCTGAACGCAAGTCAGAGCGGCGGAGATCAGTCAGATGTTGAAAAGGCATTTCTTCCAACAGCGTCACGTGTCATGTCTCCAAACACAAACGCATTTGCTGGTGTCTGGGCTCTTCCAGTCCAGATCTGGCTCTCCCTCCCTCCGCGAACCGCTGGATGAGCTTTGCGTCTTTGCGTCTCCCTCCCTGTGTGCGGCTGTGCGCGCGTGAACTGCGTGGACCTTTAATGCGTGGTTGTTGAAGGCGGTGCGACACTAATAAATGCTCCTCAATGATATCCTTAATTTAATTGGGTATGTTGTGTGCTTCAACAAAAATCGTGTGGTGATTATTGTTATTGTCGTATAACCAACAGGTTTGCACATTGTCCGGATGAATGCATCAAAACTCCTGGCTCTCTGCGGGGACCTTAAAATTATGACGCGTAAAAGTGCGCATAATATTGCACAGGATCCAAAACATGGATACTTGAAGAGAGTCAAATTAAATAGGCAAGGCAAGGCAAGTTTATTTGTATAGCACAATTCATACACAAGGCTATTTAAAGTGCTGAACGATATAAGATAGTATTAAAATCATAAATAATCACAGAACATTAAAAAGAAAGATAAAAATATAAAATCCCTCAGTTGCATGCACAGCTAAACAAAACTGTTTTTTCCTGGTTTTAAACATTGTCAGAGAGGAGGCCTGCCTCACATCTTCAGGAAGATTGTTCCAGATTTTAACAGCATGAATCTGAAATGCGGCCTCCCCATGTTTAGTTCTGACTCTGGGCACTAACAGGAGTCCAGTCCCTGTGCTCCTCAGAGTCTGGGCTGGTTCATATGGAACTAACATGTCACTAATATATTTTGGTGCGGGGCCATGAAGAGACTTGTACACAAGCAGAGCTGTTTTAAAGTCTATTCTCTGAGCCACAGGAAGCCAGTGCAGAGACCTGAGGACTGGACTAATGTGGTCGTACTTCCTGGTTCTAGTCAGGACTCGAGCTGCTGCATTTTGAATGCACTGCAGCTGTTTTACAGCCTGTTTGGACAGACCTGTGAGCAGGCCATTGCAGTAGTCTAACCTACTGGAGACAAATGCATGGATAAGAATCTCCAAGTCTGCTTTAGACACTATGTTTTTGATCCTGGCAATGTTTTTTAGGTGGTAAAAAGCTGCTGATGTTACTGATTTGATGTAACAATTAAAATTTAAGTCTGGGTCCAGGATTACCCCTAGATTTCTGACCTTGTTTGAAGGTTTTAGGGAGAGTGATTGTAGGTGACAGATGACACTCTCTTTGTTTCTTGGGACCAAAGACAATCATTTCAGTTTTGTCTGTGTTTAGCTGAAGGAAGTTGTTTTGCATCCACTCACTGACCTGTTGGCTACAGTGAAGGAGTGAGTCCACTGGTCCATGTTCTCCTGCAGTCAGTGAGTGCTCTGAGTGTCGTCTGCATAGTTGCGATAGGACACGTGTGTATAATTTTAAATGTAATAATGATTTTAAATAAATATAAAAATAATTGCAGTACTTTTCTTCAATTATGTGTCAGTTGTTAATACTGCAGTGTACTTTTCACCCTTGTTTATTTAAGTGCTCTAATTCATTCAACTTTTAAACCATTGATAACCATCCAATCCATTTACTTTTATAGATGCCAAAACAAATGGTGAAGAGATGAACCAATGCTCGGATTGGTCAAAGCGCGGCCGAGCCCCTCTGTGCACGTGCATGAGAGCCACACACGCGTATTTGGCGCAACGCATCATGGGAGATAATCCACTGCGCAGAACCGGGAGGACCAGACGATGCCCAAATATAGCCGAGTTCCTCTGATATGTCAGCGCCCATGAAGACCCATGCGCTATGGAGAACAAGCCATTCATTTGAATGGGGCGCCATTGGGGTAAACGCATCCCATTAGGGGATGAACAAATCCATCCATCCATCCATTTTCTACCCTTTAATCCATTTCTGGGTCAGGGGGGTGGCAGTCAGAGATGCCACCCAAGTCTCATAGCACCAGCCCCTCACTGACCCTCTGCAGGTGGTGAGTCCACAGGAGGACGGCTGCTCTCTGAGTGTGAGCATAGCCTTGAACTTTCAGTGGGGGCTTTGGGCAAAGTGGGGTTAAGTGTCTTGCCCAAGTACACAACGACAGAAGTCATCAGTGGGAGTCGGTGGAGAAGGTGCAGAGGTGGGAAATGAACCCACGACCTTCTGGCCTTAAGACCAATGCTCTACCAACTGAGCTACTGTCACCCCAATGAACAAATCCCATTGGATGAACAAATTCCATTGGTTTATTTATATCGGTCCGCTCCAAAATATGTTTTTTTTTGTGGAGACTGTAGGCATCTGGTCACTTCCATTGCTATCTAACACATGATAACTTGACTACTTTTAGGGTTTAGGGACATTTTCCCACAATATTTAGAAAAATGGGTCTGGAAAAAAATCCCTGACTGCTTCTCTAAGTTAAAATGTAGAACAAAAGTAAAAGTGCATGGTTGATAACTGTTTATCTTCCCTCCTGTTCTTTTTGTTCATGGTATATTTGACATATTATGTACAACTGACATGAACAATTGAAGTAAACAAACATCAGTAAAAGCAGTTGATAACAATAAAAATGGGATGGGTAGCTATGGCTCAAAACCTCTCCACAGCTTGTGATGTCACTCGCTTGTTTCCGATTGATGCCATACTGTCATGGCTTCTGTCATCACCATGTGGAGTGAAAGGAAATTACAGTATACCAAAATTGTAACGCGCTTTGTGTGACCATGCAGTGTCTGTAAAATGTTGAATATACATTAAGATTATACTTGTGAACTTAATGCTAAACATCTTTTATTTTTATTTGTTTACATATGAACATATGAGCAAAGGACCAGTGTTCTCCACCAGCCAAATAGTGGAATGTCCTTTTAAACTTTTCTTCTCAATCCACAAAGAAAATGCTGAATGAATGTTTAAGGTCACACAAAAGAGCACATAACGATCTATTTGTTTATTTATAACACATATATAAATAGAATTAATGTATTAAATAGCTTACCAAATTCCACCCATTTCTTCAAGTCTTCAAGTTAAGGCTGGACTCACTTGATGAAATGGGTGAAGTCAGGTGTGCTCCTGCTTGGTTGGAATGAATACCTGGTACTACACCTGCCCATTTCTGGAACCAGTTTGACCCCTCTGCTATATACAATATGTGTTTTAAGACATTTGGTTGCCCTCTTTGCAACCAAATTGACACAAACTGACAACGTTATTACAGCCCTCTCCTCTGCCATGCACCTGCGCTCTGTGGGTCAACACTACAATCCAAATTTGATTTGCTTTAAATGCGTCTTTCTTCTCATCTAACTGTTTAGCCCAGGACTTTGAACCAGCCTGGATTATGTATGTGTGATGGTTTAGTGGCACAGAAAGATGGTGCTGGAAAAGCTTTGTGATTCGTTGCATGAAAATGTTGGCTGTTACGAAGGCTCAGCACACTTTCCTATATCCTCCTCCCGTTGTTCCGATCTATCAGAGCCTCATTCAACATTGTTCGGTGAGGAGCGTTCTTTCTCTGCGTGGACTGGTGCAAATGCTGGATGAGGCAACCCACTCGCAATGGACCATTCAACGGTAGATCCTTTGAGACACAGTTTAATGACAAAAAAGCTGTTATGAATCTGAAATAAATTGGTCTAATGATTGTGGGCTCGATCCCCCCACCAGACCTACCACTCCATCTGCTCCCACTGAAGTCTGTTGTTTATGTGTCCCTGGGCAAGACACTTTACCCCACTTTACCTGAAGCCCCTGAAGAAAGGCCAAGGCTGTGTGATCACCGGGAATCCTTCCATGGACCCACCACATGCAAGAGGTCAGCGATGGACTGGTGCTATGAGCTGTGGGTGGCAGCTCTGATTGCCCAGAAATGGATTAATAAAGAGAATGAAAATGAATGAAATAATGAATGAATAAATTGGATTCAAAGCGTTCTTTAATGCACATTTGTTAAAGCATCAACACTTCCTTCTCATGGTATTTCTTGTTCAGAAGATGCCTGCTTGTTTTGCCGTCTACCTAAGATATCTGGCATGTCTGAAGATGTTCTGGAACAAATCATGGCATGAAAAATATTAGCGAAAGAGAAAGATCAAGTAAATGAAATATTTATTTACAGGGCCATGAAGGGGTGGAATGCATTGCTATATACTCTTCCATAAAAATCCAGCATGGAACTGTCTTTTAAATGAAATTGGGCTGTTTTCTCAGGAGGAGCTACAATACATTACATGAATTCATTATACTTACTGGTACATGTGTAAATATGTATCTACTTTTAATATTCTCAATTTGTCAATGAAAATATACAGGTGAAACTCAGTAAAAAATTAGCATATCGTTCAAAAATCCATCTAGATTTTGTACATTTTGTAAATACTGTATGTTTGGGTGTCATTTGTCCCTATTTGTTTTTTTTGGTCTGAATTACAAATGAAATAATAATAAAATATGTATACTGTTATTGCTTAGTTACCATGTGAAAGTTATTTGACTTAAAGTTAGTTATACTGTATACTGTACTGCTTAAAAAAACTCAAAATAAAACATATTTTGAGCCATAATCATATAAGAAGTCCATATCGTATATCAATTTCACAGTTGAAGTTGAAAAATAATCTAATTATCTGAGTTTTAGCTATATGTTTCAAGTCTATACTTTTTGCAATGTTTGTCTTTTTGTCAATTATAACATAAATATTTCTAACCTACAAGTGTATTTTATAGGGCCGCAGCAAGATTAGCCATCTGCTACGCTCAGCTAAAGGGAATCCAAATAATAAACTAAATCAAACATATATACCTCCTGTCTTGCATTAGCTCCCATTAGACGTTACATTAATTAAAAGCTGTTGTTTCGCCTTTGCATGATTCATTATCCATTGAGCTTGAGTGTCTGGAGATGGTATGTAGCGGCGTATATGTAAATCATCTCCACGCTCACACTGGTTAATGGAGTAGCCAGTGTGAAATATCTCATCTGACATCTGAGTTACCATAGTAACAGCATCCACAAAGATAGTTTGGGTGTGATTACAGTGATGAAACGCACGGGAGAAGATCATAGTTTTCAGACACAACATAAAACATGCTTAGAGGATGCTGATGAGGGCAATCCAGCGATAGCCTTCATTTGCTCCACATAAGAGCTAGACATTTAAGAGAAAACATACAGGCTTATGTGGTTGTATATATGGTAAAATAACTGCATTCTCCTTGAATTATATCACAATAAATGTATGATAGCCCTGTATAATTTGTACAAACCAGTTTTAAATATAAAAAACCTGCTACACTCTCAACACTCTATCATCTTTCCTAATTTTCAAATATATATCTGACCGGTTTACTGTACGCTTTACAAGCCTTTAGGACATGACATTTTGTTCTGCAGGTTCTTTAAATATGTCAAATTAACTAACTAAATTTGGATTTTCTTTTTTCTATATAACAGACTAATATTTGTGCTCATTTAGAGGACTTTGGTGTGTGTCGGTGTCTGCGTGCTTTCCATCCTCACCCTAATAATCACATTTATGAAAGGTCTTTGTTTGCTGATGTGGATCATGGCACATTCTTATACCCTTCATCTGGATTCTCCCCAGGTCGTCCTCCTTCCACAAACGTTCCCATTCGGCTCTTGGTGCGTTCCACATTCAGCTGACTTTGAGTTCCTGTATGGAGGAAAGTCACTTATATCCAAAATAGACTAAGAGGTATTTTATCACAGAAAGGAAGAACTTACCTTCACGTCTTAAAGTGTCTAAAGTTTGCTCTGGGATGGGGTTCGAAGCTGCTGGTTGTACTCTGTTTCCTATGTATCACAAGAAAGAATTAACAACTGTAGGATTTGGTTGGGAACTTGTTTCTGCTTTGTTCCCAAACACAAAGGGGTATTGCACCTGGAGCTAAACCGCAGGTGCAATTTTGTATGGTTTAGTTCTATAGAGCTTGTGCATGGTAAATGAATTGGCTTTTGCATTATTTTTAAGAAAGAGCCTTCGAATCACCAATTGGCTGAGCACTGATTGGTTTGCTGCGTGGTCCTCTTCTTGTCCCTTTTCTGTCTGAAAAGTTTGATCTAAAGATGTGACAGAGGCAATGAATTCATGCCTTTAAACTGCACCTAAATGTCCAAGGAACTAGTGTTATGGATCGTCTAACGCAGCTGTTGTTTGTAAGGTTTGAAAATTAGGCACATGAAAGAAATGGAGATGACTCTGCACAGCTTTTGCTCCCTGGAGATTTTTATAATCACCACAAAATGTGACGTTTTGGGTCACTACTCTTCATCAGACTTAAAGTGAAGCAGGCTACACACCTGTGTATATACACATAGTAATGACAGGTCTCATGACTCACTCGGTAAACAAAAACAAAACAACAAAAAATTGTAATCATTGAGGTGTAGCCCCCCTGAAATATGATGACGAGATACCACAGCATAGAAATACACCACAGCATATATACACATATTGATAAACTTGCACATTTTTGGAAAAAAATTACAAATAATTGTGAATATTCGCAATATTGAAAATTAGGCACCCCAGCTTTACACACTGGCAAACCCTTGATAAATATATCCCCGAAGAGAATGATGACTTGACAATATTTACTTGGGAAATAAATACAAAAGAAATAATTAGAAAACATACCGAAAGATGGTAGAATGTGGTTGAGGTTGAGCCATGCTTTTACAAATGGGTAAATTGATATTAGAAGACCTGCAGAAACAGAGACAAATATTGTAGCAGATATAAAAGCTCGGCAATCTTAAACTTCCTACTGTGAAAAGTTATTGATGTTGCATTACAAGCCATATGGGAGACCGCGTTGTGGGTGTCTGTGATGCAAGTGTGCTTAAAATGTCATGCTACTGAAGGAGGGAAACGATTCTGCCGCGAACACAGCGTTCATTAGTCACCCCATGTGTTATTGGAGCAGACATGGAGAAAAGTCCAACAGAGATAACTATTCCACTCTCTATAGCTTTAAAAACTAAAACATTCAACTTGGTACCAACATCTATACGTAATTAATTATTAAAATCTCATCAAATTATGAGTAAGAATGCATTTCACATTAACTATACATGCTGATGTTGTCTTACTTTAAATACCATGCCCTTTGCTCCTGTTTGAGAGCTCCGTTGACTTGGCAGTGTGAGGTTGGTTCTATGGTTACGTGGCTGTATCAAAGACGAGATGGAAAATGTCACAGACCTCAGATCTTTTTACCCTAATTTGCACAATTATCCAATTAATTGGATTTTCTTGGTGACATGTTTATAATACATAAAATGCTCGCTGATGTTCCTATTATTCTCTCACACTTTTGAGGAATTGCATCATATGAACAACTCCGCCATGTTTTATTTCATGATTTAGACTTATTTGAGTCCTATTTTAGCCCTGCTCTTTTGTTTGTTGTCATTGGGATTATACATGATTGAACACGTATTGATAACACATATTTTTGTGATATGCTAGTACCTTCACTGCTTGCCTTTTGCATCCTTAAAAATAATGTAATGTGGACCAATCTAAATTTTGGGCTTTTGGCCACGACTAAAAGGGACTACATTCTGCAAAACCACGAAATTAATGACAATCCTGGTAAAAATAAATGTCAACCTACACAGCATGTATGACATTCATTACAATGGAACTATATTTGCATGTTGGTAATGCCTTACAACTCGTTCCTATATGTTCTTATTAGATACTCACCAAGTCCTCCTGCACCCAGAAAGATGCCTCCAACAGCATCGGCGTCACACTCCCTGGAAATTCCAATCATGACGCAGCCGGCCACTATGCTGAGCAGAGACGAGCCCACCCTCAGCCCATGGTACTCCCCAACACTGACGGGGTTCATCCACCTCTGCCCCACACTCCAACGTTCAAAGTTTTAGCACAGCTCCTGGGCCCTCACCTTCAACTTCTGTCTGCACAAGGCCACCCCTCTCTTTTTATTCACTCTCTCTGGCAGAGCCACTTTCTCCGGTTGTGCATCCATGCCTGCAGCTTCTAAACATGGCTCATATATCTTTTAAGACAGAGATCTTATTTCTTATATCAGCTGATACAAATCTGATAAAAATCTCTATTTCTTGAAAGGAACACAAATTCTTGTGTCACAAAAACATAACATAATAAGTGCATTACTGTGTTTGTATACATTTTATAGCCATAATAGTTTGATAACTTGAAGCATGAGCTTGAAAGGAATGTGTAATGAAAGGTTTATGAAATCCTCTGAAGTAGGGGCTTGAGGCCATCCACAAAGGCCTGAAGGCCTGGTTGCCATAGGAATAACATTTCCATGACAACTATGGGGCAAAGGGTAAAATCTGTCATATGTGTACTTGATAATTAGATATATGTGAATTAATAATAAAAAAAGATTCACACAAGCACGTGCATTCGCACACACGTATATATGTGTATATCCTTGTATGTGATGTTCTGTCAGTCACATGTTCTGGGCAAGCATTGTACATTTACTACACCCCGACTGTAGTTGGAAAGTGAGTCGATATAATTGTGACCACATCTAAAATTGGGTGTAAAAGTTAAAGCCCGTTAGACAATATATTATGTTATGTTTAGGCCTATTATATGGGTACAACGCATACAATTAGCAAGGGGTTGTTGCTGGGAAATCATTGTATCAATGTATTCATTTGCCAAATTTTTTCACGTAATATCGTAAAATATTAATACTTATACATTATTATTGCTTCCACACCTCGGAGACCTCGTGGCGCAACGGTAGCGCGTCTGACTCCAGATCAGAAGGTTGCGTGTTCAAATCACGTCGGGGTCATTTGCAAATACATTTTATTGATGTCACATCTATATTTTGGTAAGATTTTTCGAAAAGCAGGAATGCACAAATAAATGGCGTGTTTTATTTTTTAATCACCAAGGACGTTTTAAAAAAAGAGGGCTCGTCCGGGATTTGAACCCGGGACCTCTCGCACCCTAAGCGAGAATCATACCCCTAGACCAACGAGCCAAGTGCCATTTCTCACAATCCCATGGAAGTTTTTCGCTACTTATCATATGCTGGTGAGTTATTTTTCATGTTCTGTTGAAAGCTTATCTCTCATTCAATGTACTGTAATGTCGTTTGCCAATACCCATCAAACCAAAAATAACTTAGAAATAGCGTTAATGTACACTAGTGCTTGTTCGTATTTGGGCTACGTTTTGATCATTATAAATTGAGAATAAAATGGCAACCGATCGATCAATACGACACGTGTAAATAACACAATGATTCACCTTGTCCACATTGATGATTCTTTAGAATATAGAAAGAATGTGGAACAGTCAGCAAATCTGTTCGGAGGTCCCATGGATGTAGGGTGGTCCGCAGTTCGGGGGTAGAATCATACGGGTTTTATCTGGTGTCATGTGACCTGCGCTCAGCCATCTTGTGGAAAACGAAGAGAGAGAGAGAGCCACACACACAACCCGCATACAAATCCTGTGCTGTCAGATCAAGTGCAGGTAAGACAGCCAAAACATAAAAGACGAAAACAACAGCCACATAACTTGGTACAGCGCAGGGTCCGTGGGTTGTATTGCGGGCTGCGGTGCTAAAATCAGAGTTAAAAAGCCTTCATCTTGGTTTGGCCTGTCAAGCCTTGGGACGTCGTAGGTTTGAGTGCGGTGTACAGCTCCGTGAACTTCGGGCGAGTTGTCAGGGAAATGTTGCTGGCTGCTCAGAGGCCGCGTGCTGCTAGTGAGCCTTAGCATGTTAGCTTATGTGTTGAGTTGAGGATTAAGTTGTTACTGTTAAATGTTAACCAACAAAGGGGACCACGTATTTGCTCAAATGTGTCAGACGTGTCACTGCCAACATATATGACTATGTCGACTTCTGACAGATGGCACATTTTAAATATTTTCTGGCAATAAGTTAGCTGGTTGACACTAAATGCTAACGTTAGCTTAGCATGGCTAGGGATGACTGCAGTTTTGGGCCACCAGTAGTTAAAGTGTGTTTATTCTGGCGTGGTACGAACTTTTACCATTCGTATTGCAACATTTGGTCTGTATTTGACATGAGTTATTGTACAGCGCATGTGTCATGTTCTCGAATACAATGTTTCTTTATAATGCTGAGTAGTTTCACTGTACTTTAGCTTACTCCTCTGCAGTAAAGCAACTGTACTTGCAGGACAAAAATTTTACACGATCAGAATTAGTTTCCTTCTCCTGGTGATAAAAAATTTTAAGATACAAAAACTGTCATGGTTTGTGTAAGTTAAATACATGTTGGGTGTGTCTGTAACTTTACAAAAAAAATCTTTATTGACTACATAATCATTTTATTAGTTCTATTACTGATGCCAAAGTGTAGATTTTGGTGCTATACATTGCTATACCTTCTCACACGTGGCTGACTGGTCCATATGGTCAACTGCTCTGTCCCCGTGCGGGTTTTTCTAGTTTACCTACCTCAGATTCGCCAGTGATAGGTCCGGTTAAATAAGTCGGTGACCAATTAATTCCCTTAGTACCTTGTTTATTACATCTATATTGTATACATTGCTTGTCAATTACAGGTGTCCATACTGCTTTTGCAGAAAGAGCAACTTCCTAAAATAGATTTAGCTGATTTGAAATTGTACACTGGTTGCACTCGCGGCGTGGAACATTTGTTCTTGTTCTACATTGCAAGTCTTCGTTAATAGTTTCAGAAGAAAAATATAGGATAAAATGCCACATTTGTTTCCAATGTACTGAATGAGGTCATTTGAGTATTTATACTGTTTTAAGCATGTAGTTGTTTGTTTCCATTTGAACAGAACTTGAACAGAAGAATGGCTGAAACTCAGACACTCAACTTTGGACCAGAATGGTAACTGTTTCAGCAAGTGCTCATTTATTTAATTATTAAATGTGAAATTGTGTGAATCTTAAGGCACTCCATGACCTTACCACTAAAACTACTAACTAGTTTGTGTTTGATGCTCTTGTCAGGCTCCGTGCCCTGTCTGGAGGAGGTGGGGGCAATGGTGGAGGTGGAAGCAGCAACTCTGTCTCTTCACCTCCACTTTCACCTGCTTTGCCAAAGTACAAACTTGCAGACTATCGTTACGGGAGAGAAGAAATGTTAGCACTTTATGTAAAGGATAACAAAGTGAGTTACTTTTTTGTCATGCTTAGCCTATTTCTATACTGTATCTTTTATTTTTCCTTTCACAGTGAGGTTACAAATTGTTGTTAAGGCAGAACATATTTAGCTAATACAACAACGTTTTTTGTTTAAAGATTCCTATAGATTTACATGACAAGGAGTTTCTTCCAATCTTGCAAGAGGACCCTTTACCCCCTCTGGCACTTGTGTCTTTTACAGAGGAGGAGCAGGTACATGTTAAATATAATGTGAAAATGAAATGCAGATTGTATTACGTGACACAAAAAACAATTTGTTTTATTTGCAGAGAAATTTTTCCATGTCTGTAAACAGTGCAGCTGTCCTTCGGCTGACAGGACGTGGAAGTGGTCCGATAGTGGGGGCACCGAGAGGTCGAAGTACATCAAGGGGCAGAGGTATTGACCAGGGAATGTCTTTTTTTTTGTCATGCCCAAACATTAAGGAGACACATTGTGCAACATTGTCTTGGTAATGGCTAAGATGACTTTGTTCTTTTCATTGCCACATTTATTGACCGTGTGGTTTTCACGTTTTCAATGCAGACTTTTTCTCTAAGTGATATCGATTTTAAATGGATGAACAGAGCTGAACCACAAGCTGGCTGAAGCCTAAAATGAGGCGTGGATAAATTTTTTGTTCAATTTCATTTTAGATAAAACGCTTCTTACTCTGTAACACAAAATCACAATTTTGAGCTTTGCATGTTCAGGTTTTAACACTGCTGATTTTTTTTTGAATTATTATTATTTTTTTATGTTATCTTTTTATTAGGGCTGTGAAAATACGCCTATTGAAATCACAATACTCAGCCACAATCCTGTCGTGATGTGAGAATGCAGAATTGCCACATTCCTGTCTTTCAAGCCCAGTTCATAATGTAATTCAGAGTGATCTGCCGTATATGTCAGTTGCTTTGATAGACTTTATAGACTGATTATCGGCACATTAACGGCTCTCCGCAATCTACTGCGCTATGCGGTTTGCAGGAAGTAGACGTGCACCATGTCTTGCCTTGCTGTCGGCTGTACAATCCACTTAGCCAAAGCCATAAAACGCTTAAGTTTTTTAGTGGATATTCGGCCACTGAAATTCGGGCCATTGTGTCATGTCATTTATCCATGCCCCTGCCACCAAACATATGGGTCATTTAGACGGATCTTAACCACCAATGTTGACTTTGCGGGATAAGAGTAAATCGCTCGGGGATGAACTGTGTAGTTCTGTGACATTTGCTTTTATACCAGTGTTTCCAGATCTTTTTGAGCTGTGGCGCACCTTTTCTTATTGAACACAATCACATGGCGCACCACCAGCCGAAACTGATACAGATATTAAACTATGCAGCCTTTATCAATATTGTAAAGTAATTCTCATCAAAGTGAACCACGATAGTCTTTCTAATCTAATTATTTTGACCACTTAGGTGATATTGGATCATTTCAAGGCACACTGACGCCATGGCAGACTGGTTGAAAAACACTGAGATAGCAGACAAAACACTGTATGGCTTTTTGAGCATTTTGTTTTACTGATGAGGTTTAACATTGAGTCATTCCACAATGGATAGTTTGTCTAATTTCTTCCTAGTTTTTTTGTTTGTTTGTGACTATGTAAAGGTGGATTGTAATGAGGTTGCATACCTTAAATGAAAAGTATAACTCAACACTTGATTCAAAGGTCGAGGACGAGGTGACGGAGGGTTTTACCAAAGAAGTTTTGACGATGTGGAAGGTTTTGGCCGCGGTGGGAGAGAGATGCATCGTTCTCAGAGTTGGGAAGAAAGGTATTGAACGAATAGATTTTCAAAGGATTCAATGTTTTAACACATTTATATTTACAGGGCAGATCGAAGGTTTGAGAAACCCGGCAGAAAAGAACCAGGTTTGTAGGAAAAAGGTTTGGTGTTAATTTTTTTATACTTAAGCTTATATAGATTTGTTTCTCTCAGATGCAGCTCCTGCACATTTCCAGATTAACCACAGTAAGTAAATGTATCTCATTCACAACTTCTCGCATAAGAACTGCTTTGCTGGATAATTCTGAGAAATAGAATTGTGATGTTGATATCACACAATGCACCAGATTTAATACTGTGCTGCTCTGCTTTCTTCTCCTCTATACATCATATTTGCCATTTTATCATGTCAATGCACATTCTTGTCAGTGTTTACCATCGCTATTTGTGATTGTCATTTATTTTGAAGAGAAAGAAAATCAACAATTTAGTAACACAAGGAAATATTTATGGGAACTCCTCCTGTCTTAAACGAACAAAACGGGTTTAGTTCAAAAACATTTAAAACGACATGCAACAAAGGTCAAGACTAAAAGATTTATGAAATGCACAAAGGAAGCAAGTCTTGAAGACGTTAACAGTTTGTGTTTTGTGCAGTCCGGGGGAACTATGAGGAGGCGGGGACAGGCATACCAAGGAAGCATGACTTCATACGTGCAGAGAGTGAGAACTGGCGCACTTCTCGTGATGATCAGAACGGTGAGGATGATGAGGGGGTTTGGCGCCTGGCAGGTTCTCGACGGGAAAATGACCGGTGGTGCCCCCCAAGCCCAGGTGGGCACCCGCCACATACTGCTTGCCAACAAATCATTCCTTTAAGAATACTAATGTTGCAGCCTACATTTCAGTACAGCTTTTTATGTTCAAGTGGGAATAAACTAAAATGACAATTATCAAATCAAATTGATCATTGCAACAACGGGATAGATAATTTGAGTTTCCATCCTTTTTGGTTAAGCAGCTGAGCCATGAGCTAGTGGGTAATTAATCACATTTTTTGCTCTTATTCATTCTTTCAGACGGACCTCGGTCAGCTGGCTGGCGGGAACATCCAGATCAGCGCCGGCGTTTCCCATTTGATGCCAGGGATGAGGAGCGTGGCTACAGAAGGCCACGGTCAGGCAGTGGAAGCCTGGAGGATGAAAGGGACAGTCTCCCAGAATGGTGTCTGGAGGATGCAGAAGAGGAGGCTGGTACTTTTGACTCTTCGGGGGCATTCTTATCACTCAAAGTACTGTATCACAGAACATCTGCATATTAACTTCTTGGGACCAAATCAACACTCAACTGTTCATATTTATGTTGTTAGAAAGCCTCTAAAGAGCCAATTATGGAAGAAGCCGAGCTCGACTTTAGGCAAGAAGAGTCTGAGGAGAGCCTACAGGAGAATGAGGGCCAGCCACAAGAGTCCAAAGAAGAAGCTGTGACCAAGAGGGAGACCAACCAAAAAGGTTACAATTCACTTTTTTAAAGTTTCATTTTACAAATTGTGAAATTATGTCTTGAATCACTTTCATATTTTAAATATCAGAAGCCTGATTCATGCATGTAGCTACCTAACTTTCAAACCACAAAAGATGTAACTATGGTCTAAAATCCATCTTACTAGTTCTAAAAACAGTGAAATACTAGAACTAGATGATTGTCTTGGTCTCTGTCACAGCTTTAAAAAAGGTTTTGTTACTCCTGTGTTAATCATCCTCCTTTAGTCTTGTTGCAACCATTATCAAATTACACCCACAAGATATTCCTCATGAAACGGCAAAATCTTCTTTTTTATACTGCAGTGCAAAGGTAGTCTTGAACACCCTAATGGAAAGCATCCTCCTTGCTGTTGCTATCACACTTATGCCCGGGCGTTTAGTATACATTTCCCAAACCTGTATGACCAAAGCCCTAACCCTCACCAAATGAACTAGTTTTAACCTTAACCCTTATCTTAAATTTAACCCAAAAAGGAATAATGGTTAGAATAAATATTTGCAAGCAAAACCCCCTCTGCAAATGAATAATATTAATGATTAAGTGAAATCAAATGACACAAGGTGCTTATTTGCATCATAATAAATAAATGATTCTAAAAGAACCAACACCAAAAAACAGGTATTGATAAAGTACATGTAGCTTAACGGTACCAAACCCTACGTACAACTATAAGAGGCTGACAACACGTAGTTGCCAAATTTGTTTCTATAGTTTTTCTTTTACAGGTCTTTCTGTGAGGATTTACAAAATGTATTATTAATAAAACAAAAAAAACTGGTGCTGATTCTAGCTTAATGACGTGAAAAAAAAGAAGAAAAAAAAAGATTCTCTTAACCTCTTTACTAACACCGGCGCGCCGGCGGCCGTTTTTATGTTTTTAAATGTTCTGCTGGCAATAGCAGATGTATTTTGAACACCAAACCCCAAAAGCTGTATATCATTTTAAAGCTTATTTTCTTATCTACATTTATATACAAGTGTAAACTACATCAGACTTTGCATTCAAAAGATATAACACATAATGTGGGCACAAAATAAATCAACTCCAAAATAGTTTTTTACCTTTGGGCTTGTGCTGTACAAATAAATCAGCTCTCCTCCCAGCTTGCAATACATCATTCTCTCTGGAACAGTCCAAAGGAAAATTATATCCACTTGTATTTCCCAAAGTAAAATCCATTCTGCAGAAATAATCCAAAAATGTGCATTTATCTTTAGCGAAAAAAACGAAAAAAAAGAGCACCGATGTTACTCTTTCACTTTTAACGGACTTTTAGCTTTGTTTTTCACCCAAACATCTGGTATCTACGTGTTCCTTAGCTCCTTATCTTTCAAATGAGACTACTCCCGAAAAGCTAGACCAATTTTTGGGTCTGCAAGAGCTACCGCGAGTACAGCTAGTGCTGCTGTTTGCGCATTGATCACTGATCTTTGTTGTGATCCCAACTTGTTTGCTTTTACTTCCGGGATTTACGATTGACATGTCCTTGTAGCCAATGAGGAAAGCTTTCGAACAAGGGGTGGGACAATGGTGTCCTGTCTTATGTTGGGCCTGGACAATTGTGCGTAATGGCAGCCAAAAGACGCTCTCGAAGCTGCAATGAATTTACACTCATAAAAAATAACTGACATTTAAAAAAGAAAAACACACATAGATTAGTAACTTATAAGTACCAATAATAAAAAAATATTGTTTTTATGATGATTAAATGTAAGCAAAGATATTTGGCACAATTTGGCACACTTGTGCCAAATTGTGCCAAATGTGCACTACTTGATGAAAAGGAGAAACTGCATAAAAACTATAAAACTTAGAAGTCTGAAACTTTAGACAGTTGTTGTCAACAACACAATGAACAGAGGGTTTGAATATTGTGAACTTACAATGAAGTATGCCTTTTTTAGGGCCTTAGAAATTGAAAATGTTAGGCGAGGCTAAAAAAATTGGGTTTTTTTCCCTAACTTCAAAGGATGCAGAGGAAAATAGGAATGACAAACATTATTTTAGTGTTTTTTTTACATAAACTAGAAGGCTCTAGCTTTAAAATGATGCATCACACAAGCATGTGAGATGTAACATGTGTTTTTAAATAAGCAAAGACATTTGGGTATGCCCAACCATTGTGCACGAGCCAAAATGAGGCGGATGTTAAGAGGTTAAGTTTATTTTTTCAATGTCTATTTTCTTTCTAGAATTGTTGCAAGGAGCAGTACCTGCTACATCACTAAATTCTATGCCCATCTTGGAGCCACCTGCAGTCCACTCATTATCCCTGTCTAAAACTGCTAGAAGAGAGGAACTAGAGAGGCCAGCTGAGCGGGCAGACAGACTCCCTCCGCTTGAGCTTCCTCCGGAGCAATGCAAAGTCCCTCTCCAGATCCCCATTTCCAACAGTATGCGAGAGCCCATTGCCATCAGTCATATTTCCACAGTGAAAACAGGTAGGCTTCTCAGCCATGCACCACAGAAGACTGATTAAACCCTATTGATATTGATTTTGTTGCCTTAGAACATCAAGTTTCCGTGCATACTGTTCAACTATCGCAGCAAAAACCGATGGAGTGTCCTGTAGCAACAAACACATCACTACCCTTCTCCTCTAATATAATAACACATATTGGCAGGCCCACAACTGTGCCACATGAAACGGATGAAGATGAGGGTCTGAAACACTTTGAGCAGGTACACTATGTCTTCTCTGAAGTGTTTTATTTTAATTTTATTTTGTATCCATTCTGGTGATTCCAGCTCTGCTTTCTATTTCAGGAAGCAGAAAAGATGGTTGCATATCTACAGGATGGGGTAGCAGATGATGAGAGACTTTCGGTCAAAAGCTCAGAAAAGCCTAAAACATCAGGTCTTCCTTTGTCTCATGAAGCTGCTTTGAAGTGGTTTTATAAAGACCCACAAGGGGAAATACAAGGTAATCTTGTACCAGAATAAGCAAAAACCAAGTCTGAGGATTTGAATAAACGAGTTGCCTTTTGTTTTAGGTCCTTTCAATAACCAAGAGATGTCAGAGTGGTTCCAAGCTGGATACTTCACCATGTCACTACTAGTTAAAAGAGGTTGCGATGAAACATTTCAACCTTTGGGTGAGCTCATGAAGATATGGGGAAGAGTGCCATTCACTCCTGGCCCTGCTCCTCTTCCGGTTCATGTGAGTCCTTCATGCAGTACTTGTTGTTGTCTTAAGGTGGTGTCCTACTACAGATTTTGTCAGGACCACATGCCATGTTTATTTTTGTAGTAATATTATAATACTTTGTATGTCTTCCAGGCTGATGCTGACCAAGAGAGATTGAAACGACAGCAGGAGATTGGAGCTCTTTACCAATTGCAACAGCTCCAATATCAATACCTTCTCAGGTAAATCAGTGGTACAATGGATTGACCTTAACAGCAGTTCTGTTTGTCATGTTATACTCTCCTTTAGGCAGCAATATGCACAGGCCTTGGCCCAACAAAAAGCTGCTGCCCTCAGCTCTGCCCCCCTTCAGCAACAGCAACAGCACCAACAGCAGATCAACCTCCTCCTACAGCAGTATCAGGCTCTCAAGATCAGGTACAACATATGCATAAGAGTGTGTGAGATATTTTAACATTATGTTTTTTGCTGTCATGGACTGATTTTATTAGATACATATACATAATCTATAGTGCCACAGTGGAAAAGCACCACCTCTTAAAAGAATATTCTAGCAGGGACTCTATAACATTCTAATCAATTGCTGTGTGTGTGTGGGGTTCCTTGATGTGAAATGCTTTGATTACTGTGAAAAGGTAGAAAAGCGCTATGTAAATGTGACTATATATTTACAAACTTTGTGTATTTGATTTCTTTACTTGCTTATGCTTTCAGGACATCAGAAAATCTCCTTCCTGCAGTCACACGCTCTTTGTCTGTACCAGACTCTGGTTCTGTGTGGGAAATGCAAAGCACCTCATCTCAGGCCACGTGTACACCAAACTTGCAACAAAGTGCTCCCAGCAGTAAGGTTTTGTTAAAACACATGCATTACTTTGACTAGTCGCCTAAAATATCACATCTTATTTTTCAGCATGGGATGGAAGCAGTGTTTGGGATTTACCTATAGATTCATTGGCACCGGCTCCCACATTAGAGCAAATGCAACAAGTGCAACAGCTAGAGAAGTCAAAAGCTGCTAAGGTAAGGCATTGTCATATTTTATTTATTATAGAGTTATTGTTCATTTATTTTGTGCACTGAAACTCGCCCACTGTGGGCCAGATAAAGCATCTCTTAATCTACTTTTTTAACATTTCAAATGATTTTTCTTTAAAAATAATTTCTAGTATACGGCAATTCACGGCACAATGTGAACATAAACAATTGTAGCCAAAGACTGCAGTTTGTGCTGAGGTCATTAACATTAACAGCGCCGTGGCATGCTCTGCCAAAACAATTCCCAAGTGGTGACTCTTGTTACTTACGTGGCAATTAAAAATGATTCTGAACACATTTTAATGCATCATATCCTCCTGATTCCTGGATCTATAGCCAGTTCGTCCTTGGATAGCGGATCCCTCTCTTAATGTGGAGGTTTCTCACCTTTTCACACTGGGTTTCAGGGCATATCCTTGCCAATGCAGGAGGGTCTAACATAAGGATAGTGGTGATGATCCAGGACACTCAACGTTTAGGGACATTTATCAACATTTATGGTAATCTGCCCCTTACAGACCAGTCCCTCTGTTTTATTTCATGGCAATTCTTGTGTTTGAACTGTTAGATTCTCTGATCTGTGTTGGTGAATTCACCGGTTGTGTAAAGTCCTCTGAGATGACTATTGCGTTATATAAAACTGATGCCTTATTTTTACTGTTGTGATTTAGGGCTTTACAAGAATACATTTAATTAAGTATAATGAATTATCCTTTTTAGTTGCAGGTGTTTTTTGTTGTTTTTAAAAATAATTACAATTTGTACTGTTGCATATTTAGTTGGAAATGGAAAGGCGTGAAGCTGAACTGCGTGCTAAAAGGGAAGAAGAAGAAAGGAAACGACTGGAGGAAGCCCTGAGGGCCAGACAGGAGGAGGAACGCAAGCGGCTAGAAGAGGAGGAACTGGCAAGGAAAAAACAGGTTAGACGCGCAACTGTTATGGAGACTTTTCTTCAGGAGTCTCATTATTGTCTTCTACAGGAGGAGTCATTACGGAGGCTGCGAGAGCAAGAGGCTGCCCTCCGCAGGCAGAAAGAGGAGGAGGAAAGGCTTGCACAGGAAGAAGCTCTACGTCGCCTTGAGGAGAGACTGAGGGAGGAGGAAGAAAGAAAAAAACGGGAAGAGTTTTTACACCAACAAGTGCGTGCTACATAATCTCATCATAATAGCATCCATGGCAACGTTGTTTATTACAAGTATTTTTTCAATGTATATTAGGAAGAGGAGCGCAGAAAGCAGGAAGAGCTTGAAACACTAAGAAGGCATGAGGAGGAGAAGCGTGCCGAGGAGGAGGCTGCTGCTACACTGGTTCAGCAGCAACTGGAGGAGCAGAAGCTGCGTGAGCTAGAGGCTCAAAGGCAACAAGAACTACAGAGGCAGAGACGGCAACAGCAAGAGGCGCTGCGGCGACTGCAGCAACAGCAGCAGCAACAGCAGCTTGCACAGATGAAGGTACACAACTAAACTTGAACTGTAAATGGTTTTAATAGTGTCATCTTTATGATACACGTCTCTTTCAGCTTCCATCTTCCTCAAAATGGGGCCAGCAGACAACAAGTTCTATACACCAGAATCATAACACTCTGTCTCTAGCTGAGATCCAAAAACTTGAAGAGGAAAGGGAACGTCTTGCTCAAGAAGAGGTAAGGCAATTTTAAATCTTGATTGTGACTATGGAGACTGCATGTTGACATGACTTAATCTATGACTGCAGCAACGTCGGCAGCAGCAGGAGCTCCTGAAGCTTCAGCAGCAGCAGGCTCTACTGCAGGCCACACAGCCTCAGGCCAAACTGTCAGGATGGGGCACTGTGGCCAAACAGCCCGCAGCTACAAAGTCTCTGCTGGAGATTCAGATGGAGGAGGCTCAGCAGATGAAGCAGCGAAAAGACCAGCACCCATCCACTGTCACACCACCAACCAGAACTCAGAATCGAACGGTATGTTGTTTAATATATGTTGTAAATCACATTTTCATAATCAGTAGGAATGTCCCTACCCTGTTTTCTGTCTCCTGATCTAATTCAGTATCTGTTGAATTCCCCATACCAATCCGACATCCTAACAATAGTTATTACTTTACTTACTTAATTTTACTTTCCCTTCTTATAAGTTTATAGAGGTTTAAGGCTCATTTATACTGGGTACTTGTCAGTCGTGGGATTCATTCCCAAGGAGCATGTGGAGTATAACAACTGCAGTACAGTGTGTTCCATCATGTGTGTCTCCCTCGGGGATCGCCATGTTTGTTGTGGATAGGTTTACTTCATGTGCTGATATTGAAAGCATACTTATCGCCCCCTATTGTTTTACATGGCCTACATTTTGACATTTTAAACTAATGCAAGTACAACTGCTCTGGAGACACTTGAAACGCACAGTCCTAATTATGTATGTCACAGGAGAATGAAAGAGCCTTAAAGGCTCTTTGAGATGGCTCTCAAGCTAAACATGATTCTTCTGTCCTATGATTTAAGCTGCTTTGATGTTGATAAAGCCCTTTTAGTCATAGCTATAGCCACGCTCTGGACCGGGGCGATCTTTTAAACACATCCAATAAATCCTGAAAAGTCCAGATTGTAACCTTATCTGATCGGGGCATCCCTATTTATCAAGTTTTAAAGGACACACTTTTCCTTCCTTAGCATGGACAGCAGGAGCATTACAAAAATGATAATTGTTCACTTCCTTTTTTACATTAAACTGTGTTGCTCATTGCGTTCTCCCTGTATGCTTCGTTCTAGACCACGCTGAGTAGCTCCGTGTGGGGTGCGGTGAACCCTTCTTCAAACTGGGGCTCAGACTCAAGCAGTATCTGGGGAGATGCCCACATCTCAAACATGGGCTTCTGGGATGAGGCAATAAAAGAGGTTTCTCAGCCGCCTCCAGAAACTAGAAAAAGCAATGTTCCGAAAAACAAGGGAAATGCCAACCTCAGGTATGTGCTATGGCAAAATATGAAATATCGTGGTGCTGACATGAGACTGAGGAGTTGTTTTTATTCCTAAAGTAATTCTCTGAGTGCGCGAGCCAGCAAAAAAGTAGAGGAGGAGGAGAAACTACTTAAGTTGTTTCAAGGAGTGAATAAAAGCCAAGACACCTTCATGCAGTGGTGTGAGCAAACGTTGCACACTCTCAATACAGCCAATAACCTGGATGGTAAGTGCCTCCACTTTAAAACTACACATTATTGTGCAAATTAAATAACACTCTGATTTTGCCTCCAGTTCCTACGTTTGCTTCTTTTCTTAAAGAAGTAGACTCGCCATATGAGGTGCACGACTATGTGAGGGCCTACTTGGGGGACACTCCTGAGGCCAAAGACTTTGCCAAGCAGTTTATTGAACGTCGTGCCAAGCAGAATATGAATCAAAGACCGGCTTCACAAAACCAGTCCTCTAAGCAGCAGCAGCCGCAGCAGCAGCAACAGCAGCAACAGCAGCAGCAGCAGCAGCAACAGGTCAGTTGTTGTTCAATAGGGATGGGAACCTAAGGGTACCTCACAATACGATACAAAGCTCACAATAACGATTTTATCACGATATGACGATTATCGATATATTGGTCAGAAATATACCATATGTCAATTTATGGCATAAATAAAAGAAAAATGTTCAGTGAAAAAATACTTTATTTCATGATAAATGGAATGGAGATGCGTAATGTAGCCATATATTTAAGTATTGATTATTTTTTTTATTTTTTTTCAAAATCGATATTGATACTGCAAATGCATATCGATAATCGAGAAAGTATCGCGATATATCGTCACACCCCTAGTGTTCAAGGGTTCCATTGACTTTGATTTAAGTTTAAGCTTCTCTTTAAATCCTAGGCTGAAGTAAAAAAAAGCTTCTTCCATGAACAAGTGTAGGTCAAACTAAACTGAGGTCTAAGTTCTTGGTGGGTTCTCCGAGTGACTAAAGCATTGAAAAAATAAAATGGCATGTGCTAACGTTGTTTTGACAATATATCAATATGGTGATGTATCGTGATACTTTCTCACACAATCGATTGTCGATATGCTTTTTCTAAAATAAAAAGATGCCTTTTTTTTTTTTTTTTTTTTAAGCTTTACTTTAAAAAAAGTATTGATTCTTAATATATGGCTACATTACGCATTCTACAATTTCTGTAGAATGTTCATATTGATTATATTGCATGTGAGATAAGATTAAGATTTTTACTAAAATGTGCAGGTGAAAAGGCATTTTTGCTTGTTCACTTAAGTGGATAAAGTGTCATGTTTAACATTAATCTTGAAATAAGTATTTTTTTCACTTGATCTATGCCATAATATATGAGAAAAATCATTGTAGGTAAATTTTTGACATATCGATAATCGCTGCATCGTCATATCATGACATAATCGTTATTGTGAGCATTGTATCGTATCGTGAGGTACCTGGAGGTTCCCACCCCTAACATGTTACTATATTTTTGGGGAAAAGAAGGTAAAGAGAGGGAGAGAAGTTTGATTTGTGTTTCGAGTGATTGAAGAAACTGGGGGAATATCCTCTAGTTTAAGGTCCTGACCAAAAGATCCACATCTAGAGATGGTCCCAGAGTGCTGTTCAGCTGCGGCAGCACTGGCTGAAACATGGGTCAAATCCAGAGGACGATAAATGTCTACAAATATCAAATGCATCTCCTATCTCACGCTACAGCTGTCCTGTCAATAAAAGCAAAAGAATTAAGTCCAAAGCTCATTGTTTCACATGAGGTAATTCCTTCTCACAGACGGCCTGTCTATGAACTACATTTACTCTGTAACTGAGGTGCACACAAGGACATTATAATCATGTGTTGTACAGATTGCTGATACTTGGTGATTTAATACACTGTGGCTTTGATACTTGCGGTGGCAGGTCCTCTCTAAAACTCAATGAGAACGGTGCTGTGGAATCCTGGGTTCCTGGTTCTAGTCAGGACTCGAGCTGTAGCATTCTGAATATATGGCAGCCCTTTGTAGAATGGAGAGCATTTTTAGCCCGATTTTTCTCTAACGTGAATGTTTACAAAACATTGTGAAAATGTGTGGATAATTGCATCAGATAATAAAATACCATACTCAAAAAGGCACATATTGGTGGCAGAGACCAATCAATCAATCAAATTTTATTTATAAAGCGCTTTTCATACAAAAAGTGTAACACAAAGTGCTTTACAGTTTAGTTAAAAACAATCCAACATGCCCAGCCCTAAACCCTCCTCCCCACAGACCCCCCCCAAAACCACATTTATAATTATATATACAACCACATGCGTATACACACACACACACACACACACACACACACACACATACACATACACATACACATACACACACACACAAGTATAACGTCATATCAGGTAAAATAGGTAAAACAATAAAAAGAAATGGGGCTGGGAGCAGATGTAACCGGCTGAAGAAGCGTCATCCAAGGAGCCATCTGCACCAGGAGCAGAGAGCCGGCTGCAGCCACAGGCAACGACACAGGACCCAGAGGAGAGAGGGGCCCCAGGACTCAGACCCCATAGGACCCAGAGGAGAGGGGAGGCCCCAGACCCCCACCGGATCCAAGAGCCAGACCCCCGAAGCCACAGCAGACCCCAGCTCTCAGTGCAGAGGGCTCCTCCAGTCCAGAGGAAACACTGGGGACACTAAAACAATACAATAATACAATAGAAAGTAGAACAATAAAATGTGACAATAAAAAGAAAAATGGCAGCTGCCTAATATTGATAACAATAGTAAATTGGTAGATACAATAAATAATTAAAAATAGTAAATAATAAAAATAAATAAAAATATAATGTGTCTAAAAACATAAATAGATGTACTAAAAAGCAATAATAAATACTAATCAAAAGCTACTCTAAAAAGGTGCGTCTTGAGCCTACTCTTAAAAATATGAACGTTCTCTGCGGCCCTGAGCTCCTCCGGCAGACTGTTCCAGAGACGGGGGCTGTAGTGCTGGAAAGATGCCTCGCCGTGAGTGTGTGTCCTGACTTTGGGGATGGTTAGGAGTCTGCTGCCGGAGGAGCGCAGGGGCCGGGAAGGTTCATAGGATAAAAGCAAATCTGAAAGATAAGAAGGCCCAAGACCATTAAGACATTTAAAAACCATTAAAAGAACCTTAAAATCGATCCTGAAACACACGGGGAGCCAATGCAGCGATTTTAAAACCGGTGTAATGTGGTCCCGCCCCCTGGTCTTAGTCAGGACACGTGCGGCCGAGTTTTGAAGTAATTGTAAACCTGAAATGTTCTTTTTGGGAAGACCAGAGAGCAGGGCATTACAGTAGTCAATGCGACTGGTGATAAAAGCATGCATCAGCGTCTCCGTGTTGGCCCGAGAGAGAATGGGGCGGACTCTGGCGATGTTCTTTAAATGATAAAAACCTATTTTTGTGATGTTCTTGATGTGAGGAATAAAAGTCAGCTCAGAGTCAAAGATTACGCCTAGGTTTCTCACTTGTGATGATGGATTAAAAGAGTGTGATTGGAGTTTCGGTAAAAGTTTCTCTCTCTGGGCCTCAGGACCGATGACTAAAACCTCAGTTTTGTCCTGGTTGAGCTGGAGAAAGTTTTCTGCCATCCAGGATTTCAGGTCTAAAATGCAGTTAAAAAGAGCATCCATTGGCCTGGTGTCGTCAGGAGACATGGAGATGTACAGCTGTGTATCATCTGCATAACTGTGGAAGTCAATTCCATGTCTCCTGATGACACCGCCAAGGGGGAGCATGTACAGGTTAAAAAGGACTGGACCTAAAATGGAACCCTGGGGCACACCACATGTGATTTTATGGACCTGAGAGGAGCAGGTATCCAAACTTACCATGAAGGATCTGTCTGTTAAATAAGAAGTGAACCATTTGTGGACAGCACCAGAGAGGCCGAGGTGTTGTAGGCGTGATAAAAGAATGGTGTGGTCTACTGTGTCGAAGGCAGCGCTAAGATCCAGTAGAACCAACACGGTCACCTTTTTAGAAACATAATTTAGTCTAAAATCATTTAAAATCTTTAAAAGAGCAGTCTCTGTGCTGTGGTTCACCCTAAATCCTGATTGAAATTTCTCTAAAATTTGCTGCTGATCTAAAAAGGCATTGAGCTGGGTAAAACAAGTTTTTCTAAAATTTTGCTTAAAAATGGTAAGTTGGATACCGGTCTGTAGTTGTTAAAATCATTAAAATCCAAATTGCTCTTCTTCAGAAGGGGCCTCACCACAGCCGCTTTGAAGGCTGCAGGAAAGACCCCAGTCTGAAGAGAGCAATTCATCAGGTTTAAAAGCTCCTCTCTAAAAGATTCATAAAATGACTTAAAAAATGGAGTGGGGACTGGATCTGAAAGACATGTGGTGGGCCTCACTGAGGAGAAAACTTTATCAAGCATCTCAGCATCAACCAGGACAAAACTGTCCAGTGTTTCCTCTGGTGAAGACAAACAATCAGATGTGTTAAAAACAGTTGTGCGGTTGGATAAAATGTTACATCTGTTACTTCTGTTACGAACAGTACATCTCTTAGGCCATGTCCACACGTAGCCGGGTATTTTTAAAACCAAATTTTGCCTCCCCTCCTTTTATAAAATAATTTGCATCCACACATAACCGAACATCTGCGTTTTCAGTCCTCTGACGTCCTCCGTTGGGGGAAAAACACAGAAGTGGGTGGAGCTTTGATGCAGACGCCGGTACTTGTGTAGTGGCACTTTTACACTAATAGAAGTCAGCGTAAAGACGTATGTTTACAAGCACTAACCTCAGCCCTGGTTTAGTCCTGGTTTAATCCTGGTTTAGCTCCTGTTTTGGTTGTTTTCGAGCGTGAGTCCCTGTGATCACTTTGCTGCTCTCCGATGTGGAGTGAGGATGTTTGGCAGTAAGATCCATGTTTCTTCAGTGATCAGAGGTCGCACGTGTTGTTTGTTGTTGTTTTGGGGGCTTACTGTGACGAGCAAAAACGCAAAACTCCGGTTATCTCTATCTACACGCAACTGCATAAACAAAGTTTTTAAAAATCTCCACTTTGACCATAGGTTTTTTATATATTCATTTATGGTGCGTTGTCATGTGGAGGACAGGTGCAAACGAGGAAAAATATCTGCGGTTTAGGGGCCTTATCGACTTCTTTGAGTCGATTATGTTTTACTGGAAACCTGAACTGTCATTGATCTCACTGTTCAATTTTTGACTTTTGAGTTTTTGGTATGAATTGTGTTTGTGTTTTCAGGACTCTGTGTGGGGCAGCACGGGACCCTCTCTCTATCAGTCTAATCACATGAGTGGTCAGCAGCAGCGTTTTGAAACAGTCTCCTCAGGGAAGAAGAAAAAGAAGCAGAAGATGGTGCGAGCAGACCCCAGCCTTTTAGGTGAGAAACGCCTTTTCATTGGATCACTTCTAATCAATGCAGAATTTTTTCTATGAGTCGTATTTTCTTTTGTAGGTTTCTCTGTGAATGCATCATCTGAAAGGCTGAATATGGGGGAAATAGAGACTTTGGAGGACTTGTAAGGGACTGTGGTCAAGCCCTAGTGACTTTATCCAGTTTGAACAACAGCTGTTTCACCCAGTGCTCTCTTACTTCAACCGACCCCGGCCTAAATTTTGGCCTCAAACGCAGATGTCTACAATGGTTTTTTTTTTTTTTTTTTAAGAATCTATGAGCAGAAACATGGAAAATGGATCAACGGTCAGTCCAAATTTAATGAGTTGAAATTAATTCAATGCTGGAGATATAATATCAAATCTGGCCTCCAAAAGACATTTGGGTGTATATGGGTTGTCTTGGGATTATTATGGGAAAGTTTAGAACATATCCAATGCTTTTTTTTCTTTTTATTTATTGAAATGAATCCCCCGCCCTCTCAGTCCTTTTATCCCCCCCTCTCCTGGCTGGATGTTCATGGATAACAAGAATTCATGGCCGCTAATGTCCTGTTTTAAGGACATGTTCAAAGGTTCCAACTAGTTATCTATTTCTTGTAATATACTAGGCTGTTTAAAGAATAAAATTTCAACTCTGCATCTGTATTATATTATATGAAACTTAACTGCTGGAGTCATACTTTTTTATTGCGGTATGAAATAAAACGGTCTTCTGAGTGGGCTGTACACATGCGTGCATCATTCAATAACCAGATCTAAATCTAGTCAAGCGATTTTACTTCAGATCATATCTTTAATCTCATGTTTCTAGGACGTTTCTTGTTTTTGAGCATGCTGGAAAATAAGTAAATCAACATTGTTTTTGAGGAAGTGGTTCTTGTGCTTAATATATAGATGTATTTCAGTTGTATTTCTCACCAGTTATATGCTATAACTGGTGAGAACTATTGGTGGTGATTGGAGGCCTCACTTCTGTCATTCTGCCTCAGGGCAGCTGTTGCTGCAATAGTAGTTTGCCACCACTGTGTACGGAGTGAAATAATAATTTGAATTGTTAGAAAGACATGGTTTTTAATCATACTGCATTTTTAATCATACTGCATATTTAATCATGTTATCAGTCTTTCAACATCATTATTTGTAGCAAGTCAATGCAGGGCTGTACTCGTAAGTGAGGAATTGCGCCCTTCTGACACCTCTTTGAATTTTACACATCACAACTACATGTAGCAAAAACTCCTGTGACCCAAGGTCAGCTGGTATTTAACCCTTAAAATCGTGAGGTTTGGAGTGTGCCTTGGATGATGTTTTAACAAAGTGCACAGTGTCCCGAGTCAGACAGTCTTGGGCAGTGCGCACCTCGCCCCTCCCCATCTCAGGCACTGGACCTACCTTTCCTCCTCTTCAGCTCTTCCATGTTCTTCAAGTCCGTCAGGTTGACCACATCTGAATCCAAACCAGTCTTCACCATGATTCCAAGAAACCCTCTCTGCAGGATGGCGCTTCTTGTTCTTCTGGGCTTCTTGGTGACCCTTGTTAATACAGGTATGCTTTTAAATTCATAACTTCTACTTGATAATCTTTTTAAACAGTGAAATATATCAAAGGTCATGTGTGCAATAGTGCTATATATTAATCTATTGAAACTTGACATATAAACGAGTGTAGTGTTGTGTCTCTGCATATTCCTCCTGCCGCACACGTACACAGGTTGATTACTGTGCAGCTCAGTCTGGAGCTGTGAATGCGCTGCTTTGACGAGCGATGACTCAGTGGCTTTCATGAATCCTGAAATCATCTGAAACGCAACACTTGCCGCCTATGACGCAGGTTATACCTAAATCTCAGAGGATCTTTTTGCAAGATAGGATAAGAACTTTTCCTCATGCCTCAGTATTGCAACTTTTCTTCATGCAGAATTGTCACTCTAGGACACTATTCTGATTGTCCTGTTATCCGTGCTGCAACACTGAAATTTCCACTCTGTCCTCCAACGAATAAAGGTTCTCTTGTCCTACAAAAAAAGATGAAACACTAAAATATTAACCATAAATTTAATCCATACCTGCATGAATATTCTTATGAAAATATGGACTCAGTCATATGCTGAATATTTGTGTTAAAAACTATTATTTAAATCTTTTGCAGCAGATGAATAGGAATAAATACCAAATAAAGAGACTTAACGAATAATTATTTTATTACTAAACTAACAAAACAAAGCTGACTGGTGTTAAGAGACCACAGCTGGACAAGTTGTTCTGAGACAAAATGCCAAAGGCACTGTCTGACCTGAGAAGACCTTATTTCAGGGCTTACTCTTGACAAGTTTTATTTTAATATTAAGTGAAGTGGTTTAAATTGTGTGAACTCTGTGTTCTCCCTGCTGCAATTTTCTGGCTGTGGTAAAATTCTTTTGTTGCAATCGTGTCCATCAGTCTTGCCTATAGCCGACCCGATGATTCAAGTATCGTGCCACTCTTCAGCCAGCGCAGCAGGAGGGATACGCTCACTTAGTCATATACAACTCAAACGTGTGAAACAAAAGTGTGTCAGGCCCAGGGCAGAGTTGTCCATTGTCCAGTGAGTTTTTCACGCTTGCCCGTCTGTGTGCTCACATTGCCATCTCTCTGGCCAGTGCGAAATCCTCAGAGGCAGAAAAATGCTCTTGTTTTACCGAGGCTTGTCAGGCTTTTGTTTCTGTCTACTTTAAATATTCATAAACAGATAGCTGGAGTGTGTTAGAGTTTGGATTATGGCCTTGTTTATAACAAGTTCATTTCACACTACAAAAAGCAATGAAAAATAAGTCAAATATTGCTCCAATTTAGCAAACTCTTAATTTCAGCACATTCTGGCTGTGTTAAAAAAAGATTTGCCATTGGGACAAAGCAAAATGATCTTGTTTTAAAAAAGATGCAAGAAATGTCTCCCTTGGAATGAGAAAAGATAGCAACAGTTCTTGAAATGAGACTAAATGGATTTGTCCCATTGCCATCTTGTTTTAACACAGCCAGAATGTACTCAAATTAAAATAAAAACCACTTGATGCAAGCAATAATTACCCCATATTTAATCATATCACTTGTTGCAGTGTACAAACCATGTGATAACGTCTCCTTCTGCTTATATCTATCCCAGTCAGCCTTTCACACATAGACACTATTTAATAAACAAGTTTGTTTGACATGGAGGGGCTGGGTTCGGCCTGGGCTGGCTGTTACTGGCTGTTGACCGCACAAGCTGCCTTTTGTGCCTCCAGCTCAAGGCCTCATTGATGCCATGTTGGCAGGAGGCCCCAGCTTCTGCACAGGAAGCAGCACAAGACAGAGTCAACACAGTAGCATCAAAACAGAAACAAATTACACCTCTAAACATGGGACCCCTGGCAAATGTTTCAACCGTCTTTGACTTAAGGTGGACTTTTTTATTGGCACATCATCCACTGACCAACACATTGTCTATGGCTCCAATTAGAAAAACAACTAGGAGAAATAATATCACGTTCTAGATCTATTGATTTAAGTTTAAGATTAGGATTAAGAAATCAGAAATGTCAGTGTTGCATCTCCAGTTACAGAGCAGTAGGAATGAGGAGCACACAACATAAGATAAATTAAAAATTACTCTATTCTAAAACATAAAATAAAATCTTAGCATAGTAAAAAGAATTTATAGTCATTATTAAGGTTGTCCAACTTTCCATGGCTTCCCCGCACTCGCTCGTTGCAAACCAATGGAGGAGTGGTTATTCAGATAAGGAAAGATAAACAAACGGAGATTTCTCTCAAGCTCCCTGCCCTAAAGCTGCAAACACAATTCAACACATGCCTCTGAACACATAACAAAACAATAGTGTCTGTCAGTGCAGAGCTCGAAAGAATTTAAATGACACACTACAACAAAAGTGTATGTGAAAAACTACGATTTGTGAATTCGACAGAGAGACGTACTATAATTATGGACGCATTTTGAGGAATGGATACACAGAACCTGAGGGGAGATTTATTCTGTGAGCACGAGAAGGTACAAAGTAAATATGTAGTGTGTTAAATAAGATCAGGGTAAACATGTGGGTTTCTTGGGGTGTGCTCCGTCGAGGATGGGTCAGTGAAAGGCCCGGTTTGTGACTGCAGTTTGTTTACTCCAGAAGACCAGGATCAAATACTGAAATTCTGACTTTACAGAAATGACTTAATGGATGTTTGAAGACAAGATGCACATTCCCATAAGCCACATGAGTTATCTGGATTAGAGATGTTTGTTTGCACATTTGAAGATATAGTTTGATCACTATAAAAACTATAACAGCCAAAGATCGAAAAATTGCATTGTCAATATTGGTGGATTGGGAGACCTGAATATTGTGATGTGAGTTAAGAGGGAATGATGCTGATTATGTGGTAGTAACAGTGAAGGGACTGAGGAGGTGCTAAAGTTAAAATGTATCTAACGAAAGCCTCTTGAAATGAATTATCTGATTAAACATAAATACAAACATACAAGTTATAGATACAAGTTTACAGAGCAGGAAGGAAAAGAAATGATAATTGCACAAACAAAACAAAAAAATGTTACAAAATATCTATATAAAAATAATAAATATTAGTTTTAAATAAAAATGTGGACAGGAGTTTTCTTATACCACTCACTTATCTGCTCACACACAATTTGAATAATTTCTTCAACTAAAGAAACTAAAATTGTCATACCAGGAATTCTATTTTTGTTTGAAGAAAACATTTGAGAATGATAAGTGTTTTTCTCAGATCGACCAGAACTATACACCGCTAATGTCAGTCCTGTGCCAAACAAGAACACGTTTGAAAACTGAAATGGTAAGATATTAAAGGTAGAATCATGTCACATTTTCAGGACGACTGTTTTAGCGCCATAAATCTGGGCTCCAGAATCAGATTATAACTTTATACACAATGAGGCTGATTTTATGTGGTGATTATTTCCCTATAGATTTATGACCTGATTTTCAGGTTTTAGGGAGATGGTCTGGAGGTGATCTGTTGCTCTTTTGGTTTCTGTGAACAAAAGAAAATAACATCAATTTGTATGATTTTAACTGTTGAGGATTTCACAATTCACATATTAATCATTTGGTAAAACATTGTGCGAATACTTTGTTACCGGTGAAACTTAGAAAATTAGAATATCGTTCAAAAGTCCATTTCCTTCTATAATTCTATTTACAATGTGAAACTAATGTATAACAGTACATGTAAAATGAGATGTCGAGCCTATATTTGTAATAACATTTCCAGAATCAAAGGTATTGTGTCTAAACCTGACTTAGAAAGACTTATCCATGCTTTTGTCTCCAGTAGGTTAGACTACTGTAATGGCCTGCTCACAGGTCTCTCCAAACAGGCTGTAAAGCAGCTGCAGTACATCCTAAATGCAGCGGCTCGAGTCCTGACTGGAACCAGGAAGTACGACCACATTAGTCCAGTTCTTAAGTCTCTGCACTGGCTTCCTGTGGCTCAGAGAGTTGATTTTAAAGCAGCTCTACTTGTGTAAAAGTCTCTTCATGGCCTCGCACCACAGTATATTCGAGAAATGTTAGCGCCATATGAGCCGGCTAGGACACTGCGGAGCACAGGGACTGGCCTCCTGCTGGTGCCTAGGGTCAGGACTGGACATGGGGAGGCGGCATTTCAAATTTATGCAGCCAGAATTTGGAACAGTCTCCCTGAGCTTGTGAGACAGGCCTCGACCCTGGCAATGTTTAAGTCCAGGCTGAAAACTGTCTTATTCAGGTATGCATATGACTAATCTGAAGTATTTATTTTTTAAATGTTCGTAACTTTTAACTTTTTATTACAATATTTTATATGCATATACACTGTTTTTTTGCTTGTGAAACACTTTGGGTTACACTGTATGAATTGTGCTTTATAAATAAATTTGATTGATTGATTGATGATAATTATGACTCACAGATGTAAAAAAAAAAAAAAACCCAAAACATCTCAGTACATTTTCAATTATTCAAATGTTCTGAGTTATCGTCAATATTACACCAAACAAACGCATTGAAACAGAAATGAACCATATTCTAGTTTTCCTTGAGTTTCACATGTACACACAAATCATGAAAGGAATTCAGGCTTAACATTGTCAGATTAGCTAGGATGAACTTGTAAATGTATTTTCTTCTGCAAAGAGACAATATGGGCCTGAGTTTATTTTATTTTACTACATTTCTGAACTCTTTTGTAAATGCGAAACGTTGAGGGCCTTCACTTTATTTTGACATATTTCATACTGACCACAAGAAAAATAACAACACTATCAGTCCCATTACAAATCAATCCCAACCATTTCCAAAGATCATTTAAGTTTTTATGTTCCTATGGAAACAATACGTCATAATGAGATGTGTTTTCGATAATCAAAAAGCGTTACACCTTTTAGCATTTTTTTCCCCCAACTTTTCATGGATTTATTTTTATATAACCATAAAATAAATTGTTGGTACAGCTTCTCAAAACATACTTGGTCAAAATTGACTTAGGTGTGAGTTGATTTTGCACGGGGGTCTAATGGAAAAAAAAAAAGTGTGTTAAACGTGATCTGTGGCTCAACGGTTAAAACGGTACAAAGAGGGCCTTTAATCCAGGGGCCTGAGCCGTTCACTCTGCGGCTCATGTATTCTCACTAATTATTCCATTTCCACTGGTCATTTATAAGTGCGCTTAGATAATTTTCCAATAACTCTAAGATTCTGCTTAACTTTTATCGCTGCACCATTGAAAGTTTTCCTGTTGTTTCTGTGTCTGTGTGGTTTGGAAACATCACAGACAAAGAAAGGAGAGGTCTAAACAAGGTGCTCCGCTCTGCAAAGAGGACTTTGGGCTGTGAACTTCCTGTTCTGGAGGCTCTTTATGAATCCAGACTTTTTAACCGAGCTTTTAAAATCATCAATGACTCTTCTGGCCACCCTGGTAAAGCCATGTTCCAGCTTCTTCCCTCGGGCAGAAGATTTTGCACACAGAGTACCTTTTTTGCAAATGTATTCCAATGTGGTTTTTATACTGCACATGGCAAATAAAATGAATCTAAAATGAATCTAATCTGAATCTATACTTCACAGAGACGGTCGACCCCGCTCTGATGTCCCGGGACAGTCAGGACACGTCTGGAGATGACTTGCCTAGTGAGGTCTCCACAAAAGACCCATTTCACGAAGCCACAGCGGGGCCAGTCACCTACGACTACGAGGACGCAACCCACTCCCCGACGCTGGAGGAGGAGGAAGGTGAGAGCCCATCATGGACCTTCACAGATACTCTATACTTTCATTACTGATAATCCATCTCTTAATCTATATATAGTATTATTTTTTTCCACAGTGAGGGCATTTCAGAATATCACTAGTTTTCAAATGAATTCTTATTTTTTATTTAATTTGTAAATTTTTGAAGAGGGGGCAGGCAACATAAGATTTTGTTCTTCTTTCTGCTCCTTTTCATTTGTGACGACAATTCTTTGAAATGTATTTATAATATGTAATGTATTGCTATGTCCACTATTGATATAAATATGTAAATAAATGTTTTTTTTTTTTACCTCTGTCACATCTTTAGATTGGCGTTTTCAGACAGATAAGTCAAAACAAACGCAAAACGATAAATGATTCTCAGGGTTCTGTTTGTTTTTCATATTATGAATTCATTGTCTTCGAAATTCCCAAATAAACAATTGAATTGATTTTTTTTTTTATTATCATATGTATGCAAACGTTACAATGGTTACAGCATGTTGTGGTCTGATATGTTTATGTATTATTCATGAGAAAAATTAACATTATTCTATGCAACAGTCTGGTCCAGTTTAGTCACTCAAGTACAACATATACCAAGAGATGGATGGTTGCCATAGTGATCTCTTTATTATGATATTTATTATACCTGTGTCCCCCCAGTCCCCACCCCTCAATTTCATGTCACCGTTTTTTTTTTCTAGCATTCATATATTTTCTTCACACATTTTTTCAAATTTATTTTTTTCATTTTATTTTGCATTCATTCACATATGCAAATAACTTTTTCCACTTCTGTATACGTGCGAGATGAATGCAAAATATTAAGACAATAAAGAAAAATTGCATAATAGCAATGGGAAATATGTTTTAATTGTATTGACCTAATTGGATACAACATGACAGAGTTATGCGGAAAAAGTTGTTTAACTCTATTAAATCCAGCACTTTATTCTTAGAGATACTTTCATTGTTGTCTCAAAGTAACTGCAGGCTGTGACTTTGTTTGTCCACACAGACTTCCTGGGGCCGGGGGCCATCACTGCCATCGTGATAGCAGTGTTCCTGGGAGCTTCTGTCCTTCTTGCCCTCATCGTCATAACCCTCCGAAAGTTCACAGCCTCCTAAAGCGTGATGTGAGAGGCATGAGCGTGAAGTGTCTGGACAATCTGTGAGTTTGGGAGGTTTTTTAGGGGGTGTCTTCTCGAGTTATCGGCTCCCATACGGCCCTCCTCCCTGTCAAGGATGAGTTGCTTCGCTAGATGCTAAATGTGGCAGGTCCCTTTAAGGCAGCGGCCTAATTTTAGATTTCCTGTTCAAAGCTTCATGTTCAAAAGTTCTAAGACAATGTGAAACTGGCTGGTTTTTCCAGTGCGACGTGCTGCTGTCTTCAGAGTGTGGAAGAGTCCTGTTTGTGTTCTTTTCTTTTTGTAGTACATTTTAAAATCATGACTAAATAACACTAGATAGATTTGTTAAGAGAGGAAAGAATATGAGGCTCTCCTAGAGAGGAAAGAATATGAGGCTCTCCTAGAAACTAAAGTCCTTTCAACAGACAAAGGACTAGCTATGTAGAGCCTTGTTCAGGGCAGATATAGATCTGCAATTATTTCAATACTTCTTGTAATTTACTGTTTTCGCTGATCCCCAATAAACTTAGAAAGACACCCTTATCAAAGAAATTATTAACATTACACAACAAATGTATATACCAGGGGTGGTCAGAGACGAGAGCCACGAACTTCAGGTGTTGTCCCCTGCAGAGCCACACTACACACACACGCACACGCACACGCACACGCACACACAAATACATAAACTCCAATTTTATCTATTTCAATTGATATACAGTAGAAACTCCATGCACTCATTTTAGATGATTTGAACACAATCCTACAATACAAACCTTATTTGATGTATAGTCATTTGTGTAATAATGATTCTTTTGAAATGCACAATCCTCAGGTTTAAACATTTATTATGAGTAAAGTTTACATACTTTAAACTGACAATAATTAGTGTATTTAGTTCAGACACAAACACTAAAGTTGTTTTATTTAGGCTTGTGTAATAAACACAACATTCACAATGAATGTAACGTAAGAATATTACAACCATATTATTATGTCCATCACGTTACATTGTTAATTGTACATTTTATTTATAAAAAAAAAAAATGTCATCCCAGTAACCAGGGGCAACAGGGGGCTCGAGGGAACACAAGAAAACAACATGTAAAATAATTATATTACTATATTTGGGCTGGATTCATATTTCCTGAAAAACGTTGCTAATACAGATATACTGTATGAATGAGCTGTACGTTTCAAATAAATGTTTATTACACTGTGAAAATAAATCCATTTAGGTTTGTTTTGTGCGTTTTTGTTAAAATCTAAAAAGAGTGAATGGATTTCTGTGAGTGAACCAGCACCGTGAGTTCCACGAATCAGACCAAATTGCCAGATTTTTGGTTTTGCCTTAATATAAAGCACAACAATTTGTCCACAATGTGTAAAAAAACAGGAATTTAAATGACACTGTTGATAAAGGAACTGTCTGAATCATTGAACATCATCCAGAAGTGAAATCACAGTAAATACTTAAATCATATTTTTTAAAGTAAATGTTATTTAGCAATTTTCTAAATCTTTGAATCATCTGTGCGAGCAGCGGTCTAGGGAACAGGAGACTTAAGTGTTGCATAATATTTATATTGTGTTTAAAGGTCCACTGTAACTGTTCGTCATCCCTGGTTTTATACAGTATTAAAGATCTTTTTCCCAACAATATTTGTTTTTGTTTTAAATGTACAAAGAATTAATGTAGTTTGAAAAGTGTTGATATTGGTTTAAAAATGTAGTGTTTGTTGTAGAATAATTATAATATTAAACGTTTTCTTTTTTACTTGTACTTTGTCGTTGTTGTTGTCTTACTATTAGTGTGATTCTTATCTGTCTCACACCTACACAAATGTTCCTTCCATATACGGAACGTGTGGTCGCTGCTTGTACTTTGAGCACATCAAAGATCGTAATCTCAGCCCAATCTCAAACCAACGAGAAAATCACTGCCGTCTTTCTGCTGTTTGAATGAGTCACTGGACAACATCATTTATCAACACAACACATCTCCAGCTTGTTTAGTGACCCAGTTCTTTTTCTCATGAAGATGCAAACAATTCTGGGAAAAACCATCTACAAAAAAAAAACAAAAAACCTCCCAGAGACAATTGTGGTTTGGCCTTTTCAATTTCAATGTATTGAAATTGGGCATATCTTTGTGACACGGGTATAAATATTGACTTATGTAAAGCTTAAAGATGGGGTCTGACATTGCAAAAACACATTATTAGACTGGATTGATGTTGGAAAAAAAAAAAAAGGCAAGATTGTCAAAGACCTAGAATGCTTCCTTTTTCCCATTGACAATTACAATCATACAAAAGCTCAGTGGTTTAAGTCAGGAAGTGATGAATGCCCTTGGTAGAAAGCAGAAGTGTGTCTGGCATCAAGCAGAGACATGAAGTGAAAGAACACCCAAGCGGTAAGATCGCACCTACACTTCACGCTCTCCCACTGCTGTGACTCTGAGGACTGCGCTTTGAATATTTATGTTTCGATTGATTAATTAGCATTGATTCTGGCTGTTCCCATCTCAGAATCAGAATCAATTTATTTGCCATTTGCAGAAAAAAAACTACATTGGAATGCAAACAGGAGACACCGGGGGCACCAACATAACAAAGCACACACACAAACATCTGCAAAGTTTGGGAGTCAGATTGAAAGAATTGTGACTGATTGAGATGGGAAGTAATTAATAAAGTATGAAGTAACTGACATTTTCTATTGCTTGACTTCCTTATTTTTTGGGAAACTTTTCAGATGTTGGCACGACAGAAAAACAGGTGTGAAGTTGTTAGCCGTGCTTCTATGTGAATTATTTCGACCACCCTTTGGCTTAAGCTATGTTTTGTATTGTTTTGCCAGTAGAGACCGGTTTAATGTAAGTGTTTCCAAGGCAACGCTTATAACTCAAATTAAAAATATATTGTTGAAAAAATAATTTACTGTTAAACTTTTACTTAAAAATAATTAACTTTTGTTGCAGTTGGTAATCTTTATTTATATACCACCTTTTCACTGCAGATCTGAGTCTCAAAGCGGTTTACAATTGTACATTTTTTTTTATTTTTTTTTTTATTTTTATTTATTTTTTTGATTTTTATTCTTTCCTTTTACTTGACTTGTACTCATGCCACCTTTGACGACAAACTAAAAGTAATTAAAATAAATCTTCAGTTCAGTATGTTTCATTATGACAAACCACAAAAATTGTCCTATAGTTTTTGTGTCGGGGGCATATTTGTAATAATGTAAACAGAATTAGTTTTAGAAAAGATGCATTTGTTGCTCTAAATACATTTTTTTTTTTTTTTAAGTTTTATTCTTTGGGCTATAAAGACAACACTTCTATCTCACATTTTAGTAAAATTGGATTCAACACTAAATCCCCACATTGCAGAAAGCTCTAAAGATCTTTATCTACTATAACATATCAATAATCCAATTTGACTCATGTGAGATAGAACCGTATAATTTGAGTTTATTGAGGTTCAAATTTAGTTTCAACTTGAAACTAAACTTAAACCTCAATATCTTTGAAGTTTCCTGAACGCAGATGGTTCTTTTCAACCACGGCCCATTTCCAAACCCCTCACGTTTCACTGGTTTGACTTTATCTGAGTTTGGGAACGGAAATGATTTGGAATATAGCTATACTTTTAAGATAATATAAGATTCAGTCCTTTATCTTTCCCACAGAGGGGAAATGGCAATGTCATCGTTGTGCACATAACAGCAGAGTAAAAGGAGGAAATAAGAGCACATCAAACAGGATCTGATATTCAAGATTATATATTCACGATTTGCACTTGTTTTGAACTGTTTTAGTCGATCGATTTCACAGTGACATTTGTTTAATGTTTTATTTTTGTCTTTTAATGTTGTTTTATGTCTGTATTTGTCTGTGCACACTGGAGATTTTTGCTAATGTATTCCAATGTGGTGTTTTCACTGCAAATGGCAAATAAACTGAATCTGAATCTAAAAACAAATAAGTAATAAGGAAAAGGGAGCGACAGTGGCTCAGTTGGGCCTGAAGGTCGTGGGTTTGATCCCGCCACAAGACCTACTGTAACTGCTCCCACCCATGTTTGCTGCTGTTGTGAGTGGGAGCAAGACACTTAACCCCACATTGCCTGAAGCCCCCGCTGCAAGATCAAGGCCATCTTCCCGTGGACCCACCACCTGTAGGAGGACCGGCCTGGGACTGGTGCTATGATCATTGGGTGGCAGCTCTCATTGTCACCCCCCGACCCAGAAAAGGATTACTTAAGGGGTAGAAAATGAATGAATGAAAAGGATAAAACAAAACTCTTGAGCTACCATTGCACTTTTACCTGTTTTCCCACCTAAATAAGTACATTTTCTCCACAGCTCAACCTTCAACATGACCAACAACTGTTCGTTTGCAGCCGTGGATGAGCTGATGAAACAATTGGAGCTTGCCATCTACATTCCCATTTTCATCATCGGTTTGGTCAGCAATGTCGGAGCCCTGGCTGTGTTCTGCTACGTTCTTCCCAAATGGACCGAGACGACGATCTACATGACCAGCCTGGCACTTCTGGACCTTCTGCTCCTCTTCCTGCTCCCCTTTAAAATGCACGCCACCAACCACATGTGGCCTCCTCATCTGCAGACGCTTTGCTCGATCCTGGAATGCCTGTATTTCTTTGGGATCTACGGCAGCATCTATACCATCATGAGCATCAGTGTGGACCGCTGGATGGCCATATGTCACCCCTTTAAGGCCAAGCAGAGGCGGTCGCGCAGAAAAGCCCTTGGTATAAGCGTGGCTGTGTGGGCTCTGGTCTCGGTGGTCACCTCGACAACCACTTCCAGTTTCAGACAAAGTACGGGACACACCAGCATCCACTGCTTTCACAGTTTCTCTCCCCGCGGGTGGAGGCCGGTGGTGATTGTCTGCGTGGAGGTGTTGGGGTTCCTGGGGCCTGCTGTTGTGGTGGTCTTCTGCTCAGTGAGGACTATCCGGGCGCTGCAAAGGTCGGAGCAGCGTAGTGCACAGGGAAGGGCCTGCATCCGGTACGTTTACAGCAGCTTGTGTGCCTTCCTGCTGCCGCTGACCCCCAGCCACCTGGCCATTCTGCTGCAGTTTCTGGTAAGAGCAAAGAGGCAGAATGGAAAGTCTATTGGCAGATATCACTCGAGCGATATCAAAATATTTTCTTAATTTGAGGATAAGTGTGATAAGAGGATGATTATATTTTCACATTATTTGTGGGGAAATGCAGTGAACGGAGACAAGATGAGACAAGATGAATATAGGCAGCAAGATAAAAACTGGAGGAAAAAGAAAGTGGCCTGTTATCAACATTAGTACACAAATAATTTTATACTAAAACGCTTTATGTTGGGCTCAGTGGCTCCACCTACTGCTGCTATTGTGTCCTTGGGCAAGCTACTTAACCCCACTTGGCCTGAAGCCCCTGCTGCAAAATGTTATGAGTTGGGAGCGGGTCAGGAGTAATAGAGTGCAGGAGTAAAGGCAGTGCTCCACTGTCACTGTCGTACAGACTTTCTAAATAAGTGTTTATAGTCTGAGACATAACTGCTATTTTACACAGGAGGCGTTACAGCACGTCCACGTTGTCCACGCAGCAGACGCGTACGTGCTGTAACGCCTGCTGTGTAAATTAGCTGTCAGACGGCTCAGGGATTGTTTTGTTCACTTTTAGAGGTTGACAAACTCACAAGGAAGAAACACATCTGTTTAATAGCAAAATGGAGCCAATACTTTACAAAAAGCATTATTCAGATAGTTTTATGAAATGTATTAAAGACTTAGTAGTACAATTTTCAAGTGATGCTTTCCTTTGTAATCAGGACATTTTGAATCCTATCTGCAAAACTGCTACACTGAAGTGTACATACAAATAATTGTTATTAGTAAGTAGAGTTTATCTTGATTTGAGTGTGCTTTTGTACAGTGGAAAATGTTAGGTTATTGTTTTGTGTATAACAAGACATGTTATGCTTGTTACATTAACAAACGGACAAATCCAGATAAACAAGACTTACTTCTGCTGTCAATGTAGCCATGTGTCGTTAGGTCATTGTAAAAATGTGTTTTTAGGTCCACCAGGGCGTGATAGAGAAGTGCGGCTCTCAGGCGGCCATCAGTCTGTTCCTGCAGCTCGCTCTGTGTCTGTCCAACGTCACCTGTTGTCTGGACGCTCTGTGCTACTACTTCATCACTGCAGAGGTGAAGAGCAGCCGCCTCAGCTCCACCTTCGCCATCCACAGGAGAACCGCCTGCAGCAGCTCCGAGCTCTGACCACAGCTGACCACAGCTGACCACACTCCTGATCACACCTTTGACCCCACCTTTGACCCCACTTTTGACCCCACTTGTGACTCTCTGGTCATCAGGACACTGCACACACACATGATGATTAGAGCAGAGATAGTGAGTTTAAATGACTTCAGGACTGCACAATTTTGGAAAAATATCTAATGCTGTAATTGCATAAAATATGTTTATGACCATGGTTGTAATTTTTGATGAACTCTGTTTGTATTTGAAAAAGAGAAGCGATCACCTCATACACCTCCCACACTTTTCATAAAATGTCCATAGAGTCATAACCTGTTCCTGTTCGACCATTGTTCAAGTAGAAATGAGATTCACTGCAAAAATGAATGAAATAGTTTTTATCTTTTCACAAAATTGCTCATAGTCAGACCTTTATGCTCAAATATGAATTATGAATCAGGAATCATGGAATGAGTAAATTATTCTTTTGTTCGACAACAAAGAAAAGAAGTTCCTTTAAAAAATCATTAAAATCTACTCAAATCAGGAAACACGTTTCCAAATTTCAAGACATTTTTGGTTATCTTCATAAATTGAGGAAAATATTAAGATAATATAAAGACTAAGATTATGCGTGATAGTGATTTTAATTAAGGAGTTTGAAGTGTACTTTTTAACAGTCATTACTTTTCAGTCATTTTAAGTTCTAAAATGTAACGCCTCCATTTAAATATGTTTAAAGACAGTTTGCACACACGCCAAAAGTAATCCTGCAGTTTAAAAATTATTCAATAAGAGAAGTGGAATAATTCTCATTACAACTCAGTGAGATAAAGTTTGATCTGTGTTTCCTACACTTTACCAAACTTCAAAACCGAGGAAACGTTTGAGTCAAATCTAAAGTATGTTTAAGATAAATTACTAGCATAGTTTACTAACATGGATTATTCTATTTTAAGTTCCTATGTTGACGTTCATCCAAATTAGTTTCTGAGACAGGTTCAGGTACAACTTGTCCCCTTTAAATTATACAGTTCTATCTCAAATGTTTGTCAAATTGTGTAATTGGTGTTTTACTAAACCAAATCTTTAGAGCCTTCAGAAATGTGGGGATTTTATGAGCAGAAACTAGACTTAAAAAACAATATTTTAAAATCTAGTGAGTGAAATAACATTTAATTAAAAGATGAAAGTGTTATATTGTTTGTTTGTTGGATATTTTTTTTTTACTTGTGGATTTTGTTGTTTTCTATAGTCTTATATACTAATCAACAAATTGCTTTTGTTTGTCGCAACATTAACTATGTAAGATTCACAAGCACTTTAACTTTGAATAAGAACAGTGAATGTTTTACTTTTATCTATTGAAATTGTGTTAAGGGTGTTTTCATTCGTGATATTCCACAATAATTGTAAAAACACGTGTATAGTTTGTTCATTATTTATTTTAAAGCAGAAAGATATTACAAGAGTTTTGTGTACAGCAAAATATGGTATGAATACAGTCGAGTGGTCTCTATCAACAGAGACGATAAAAACACAACCCAATCCTAACGGTGACAGTGAGCGGAGTGGGGTCTGACACGGTGTGTTTGAAGAGTACAGTGTGAAGACAGGGAAGAGCATCAGTTCCTTTGATAGAATCTACTGTTTTATCATGTCTGCTTTCTGCACCCAACTTATTGTGGACTTTGGTTCTCCTAAAGCATTACTTCTGAATACAGTCTGAAGCCGTTAATATCAAAGAGCAAAGGAACTATAAGACTATTCACACATATAAATACAAATGCAGGAAATGTTGAATAAGAGTAATTTACATTTGATATTGCTTGAGATATTATACAACATTGAATAATCATTTAAGAAGTTTAAACTACATGAGGTATGTCTCCATTTGATATAAAAACAACAAAACATACTGTTTAAGACAGAGTGCAAGAGCCCTCACGTACAGAGTGCTTTTACATGAAAACTAAATGACAGAAGTCAACATTGATATTGCCACACTGGACGAGCTACAGATGCAGTATATTCAAAATGTCCAGATATCAAAACTAAAAATAAATGGCAAAGTAGACATTTGTTTCACAAAAACACATAACGTAGACAGAACAAACTAAAGTTGCTCTTAAAGTGCAGTTGAAAGCCAAAGATTTCAAGAGGTATTGTTTCAGATTGGCTTGAGTGAGACTAGTCATGATTTCTGCAAGGCATTTACATCCTTTCACAGATTTGAGTCTCAACCACAAAAGTGTTCTCGAAGTGACGAATGCTGTGGCACTTCTGTGTCTCACGCCTCTCAATACCTGCAACACAACAGTGAACAGCATGTATTACAAACTGAAATAAGAGTGAAACCTGAGCGAGAACATGTGATCAATGAATCATCTGAGGATATCCCTCACAAATCACATCCATATATGAACCACTGATGCGCCAATCAACACGGCCAACGACAGAGAAATCACTTGTGCATCACAGCCTCCTCCACAGTGTGTGGCTGTGTCCTCTGCTCTGTGGTGAGTCATGGAGCAGGAAGCTCCCTGCCCTCCCACGTACCACACTCTGAGGAGGATTCTAACATGGGCAAGATCCACTGACGTGAGGAGGATTGCCCTATTTGGAGACGCTGTGATGGAAATGTCAGTACTATGCTGACGACAATGAGCTCTCTGTTTTGCAAAGCTCTGCTTTTCTGGAAGAAATCTATATTTTTTTTACAGAAAATGTAAGAGAAAATGATATTCTAGTATATATATATATATATTTCTATAAACTTTTGGGCAAGTTTCAGAGAAAGGCCACAAGCCAGAGTCAGAGAAAATGGAAGAGAGTGGTGCACTCACGTCTGTGACTTCGGCGTCGAAGGCGGTACGTCTCTTTCCCAAAGCAGAGCTTGTGGATGTAAGGGCCGAGCGGCCTCATGCTCCTCACCCTCCCGGTCACAACCATCTCCTCATGGATCATGTAGGTCTGAGGAAGGTATGTCCCTCTCTGTGATAAAAGCAAATCAATCATTAGTTGAGATTTGGCCAACAGAAGCCATTGACACTAACACAAACTGTAATATTCTTTATCATCCACACAAACGGGTGCATTACCTTCACATTAATTAGCAGCTCCCAAAGACTCCGTGGAGGCATGACCAATGTAGTATTCAGCTCGGTGATGTAGCACTTGTCCAGGGCAATGTCATAGTAAGCTGTGAGTCCCTGAAAATAAGAAATTAGTCTTAGAAAAAAAGTCATAGCAATAAATGAAATGTGGTTTTATATTGCGTTTACTTACTCTGTGAAAGTCATGAATAATATCAGCAGGATCGCAGCCTCCAAAGTGGGGCACAGGAACACTGATCTGCTCGTAGTTGTCTTCAAGATAGATTCCAACATTCTCTTCAAGCTCCTGCCGACCTCGGAGAGGAGCAAAGATCGACTCTTCGTAGACAATTCGACAGTGAAACAAGCTGTCTTCAGGCATCTGTTATTGGAAACACAGCAGAGCTACATCAGTGAGGCATGTAACAAAGTATTTTGAAAAACTAGGAATAAATGAATGATTATTATTGTATATATTGTTGAAATGGCTCACCTGAGAGGTGAAGTTGTGACGATAAACATACACTGAAGCAAGTATCAATCCCAACAAGACAACAAGTAGACAAAATGCAAGGAAGCAGAGCCCAGTTGGTAAAGACCTCTTGGACCTCACAGGAAGTGTCAAGTGTTCCTGTAGGAAGAAGATTGGATTAGAAAAAAAAATAACACTAATGTAATCAACGTAAGTTAAATCATTGAATCATTAGTTTAATGTATGGCTAATTAGATGATTTGCAGAGAGGTCTGCTTTCCAGACCACTATCCATCAGGGCATGAGGACTAATAGTTCTGTCACCCCTTCTATGAGGATATCTGGACTGATGGAAAGATGTACAATGGACATTGGAGAAACATGTTGCATCCACACCCACAGTCTCTCACTCAAGCTGCTGCAGCCCTACTACTGTTGCCATGGCGAGCGGAAACATGAGGAGCAAATTGTGCCAGGTTCTGACGATCGCGCTTCTATTCTTAGAAGACAACTTCCACTCTCCTTATTTGCAGAAGACTCCCTGGGGGCTGCAGTGGGAGTCACAACAAAGCTAAGGCGTGGAGTAAGGGTCTCTCAGTAGAATCACTTATATTTATAGATCAACACACAATGACTGTGACGTCTGTGCGACTGTCTCTGCCAATCAGATTTGAACAAACCTTTGAGATCACAGTCTGTGATCCTCCTTCTTACACAAGGCATCACAACTCAAACATTGTGCGTCAGGTTTATTCATACGTTTAAAACAAACTAATTATTGGATCAAACAACAGTATCTGAAGAGATGCTTCACAGAAAATAACTGATGCTTTGCGCATATTCATTTAAAGAAGATTGTCTTTGTAGGTGATGGCCAGAGGGCGGTAGAACAACGTGTGTTTGAACTATATTAGCTAATAAACACAAGTCAATAAAAATCCGTACACAGGTTTAAAAGCACTATCTGGAAGTGCATTTGTCGTATTCAGCATTAGCAAGTGTAGTCACCTGATGGATAGTTTTAATCATTAAACTAAAGCAACAAAGCGCATGCAGCAGCAGCAGCTGCAGCACGGGCTGAGGCTGACGTCATGTCAACACCAGGTTCATCCTCCGTGGATCAGATGTTTCACTAATGTCTAATGTCTTATGCAGCTGTTGGAATAAAGCGAACTAAAACTATAAAACTGTCTACAAATGCATATTTGAGATAGTTCAACGAATGCAATGTGTAAGAATGCCCCAGAGCCCAAGGTGCGCCCAGGACAGAGTGTCCAAACTCACGTCAGCCTGCGGGATCACGATCTTGTCTTCATCGGTGTCTTTCTCGGGCTTCTGCGCCGTCACGGCCTGAAACGTGATCTTCACCATGTTTTCTGTCCCGTGGTCGTTGGTGCTTTGTCTGAATAGTGTTTTAGTGCACTGCGTCCATCCACAGAGCAGGGAGAAGGTTTTATACGGATGTGTCCGGATCGCCCCCGGGACTCGGTGACATCACAACCGCGTCCTGCGTGACGTACAAGCGGTGTGTGGGTCTCCAGGACCAGCGGCTGCGGAGCTGTCAAATTAAGAGCTTTAAACCGAGATCTGTCATCAAAATGATGAATACATCTCATACTAGTGCTTTTTTAAATGTATTGTGCATTTTTACCATATCATGTACTCACGTTGTTTCATTACTTTGACTTACTTTGTTAGTTACACGTTAATAAGCATAAGATGACTTTATTCTGAAAGTTAGTGCCTGATATGGTAATGCTTTCCGTATTTTATTTAAAGCCACACTCCTCCTTTTCTCATCACTTTTCATCCGGAAATGTAGGAATGATAGAAAACTCTAAAGTGAGTAAGTGAGCATGAAGTAGAGAGTAGAAAAATCATATGCAACAGTAATCAGTAATGTGACACTTTCACACCAGGGCAACAGCAGATCTTCTGCAGGAAAAAGGAGTGATGTAGGAGAAAACCATGGATCTAATTTCAAGTGAAAACGTGATTGTGTTGTCCTTAGGCATTGTCAAGGATCTGCTGTGGACACAAATCATCTAATATATGTTTAACATGTTTTGACCATTCTAATGAGGTTAAGTAAGTTGCTTAATGAGAATCACATCCATGTAGCTGTGTGGAAATATGTAAATGTGACAACACATGCAAATTTCAGACCGTCATCTCATCAGCATCTGTACATAACCATGACTGTTCACAATGATGACCCAAATGCAAAGGCTGGGAGCCTATGCATTTGGGTCATCAAATGTGGCTTTATAATATGTTTCATCATGTTCAAAGATTAAACTAGTTTACTATTGGTTGTGTGACCCAGGCTGGTGCGTTGAAACAGATCGCCGTTTAACCCTCTGGTGCAGGATGCACTGCAGGGTGCACTGCACTGTGATTTGTCACATTGACATTGAAATCCTCCACATTTCAAACTAACTAACTAACCATGACTGCAGTGGTCATTTTATTATATAGAAAAACACAGAATTTAGAAAATCAGGTGTAGGGGAAAACATACAGTGTCAAAGTATATCTATTGTGAAAGTCTTGTTTAGACAATGCTTGTTATTGTCTTTAAGAAAGAGCAACTTTGGCTACTTTCATTTCCGGTGTATTTCCACAGGAAATGAAATCAAAGTGGTTCTTATGAGAGAGGCATTGTCTAAAAAACTATTGTCCCATTTGGTCACAATTTGCGATCTTAGAACACTTATTCAAAATGTGTTTAGATAGTTTCATTGAGAAGCATGCATTGTTACCAGACTTATTTAGAACAATAAGAAACATTTGATTGATATTGGATTTTATGAAAGCATTTGACACCATACACCTCAGTTTTCTTTGTAAGAGAGATTTGCAGCTAACTTTTTTATGGTGTGATGTCAATAGACTATCCTTGAACTTAAACTGAACGTCATAATACAATCCATATTTGTGTGGGGTAAGTAACACCTACAAAATTACATATGTATGAAAAATAAAAACATAAAAGTGGTAAGAAAAGATAATAACAAATCACAGAAGATACCAGCATCACAACAGCTTCAAAAACATTTTAAAACAGCATGTTCTGTACCAAGAAAGACACTTTGTTCCTAGTCACATCCAAGCATTGTTCTCTGAAAGAGATGGGGCAGTACAATCTAAAAGGAAACACGGAAATGAAAAATGTAACAGCTGTGAAAGTTTGAACATTTCTATTAGTGGCGTGGAGTTATGGAAGAGTTTGTCAGAGTTTCTCCACTGACCAGGTAAGGTGGCTCTGTTCCAGACGCCTCCTGGACGCCTCCCTGAGAAGATGTATGTCCCACCGTGAGGAGGCCCCGGGGAAGACCCAGGACACGTTGAAGGGAAGCTGTCTCTCGGCTGGCCTGGGAATGCCGCAGGATTCCCCCAGATGAGCTGAGGAAATGTGTGCGGGAAAGGAGAGGGAAGTCTCTGCTTCCGCTGCCACCGTGACTCAGCAATGGATAAAGTGGAAGAAAATGGATGGATGGGTTAAAACAAGGCAACACCATCAAGCACTTCAAAACACATAACCCAGTAATTATGAAATATTTTAAATGAAGAAGAATTTTCCCTTGATGAATCAAGGCAAAGGGCCACACAAAACTCAACACAGAAAATAAAATTAAATGAAAATAAATAGGAGTGCACCATTTGTGTGTGTGTTTTTGGGGCGTATAACATCTGCATACACACACACACACAGTTATGTATAATTCTATAATTTGGGACATGGGAAACAAATATAAAAACAGAGACTGCCCTGGGGAAATAGGGTTACCCAGTCTCCCTATTTATGGATAAGTTTTCCAGATGTATGTGGCCTAAAGTTGGCTTTGGAACGTTAGCAGCTGTGACATGAGCATAGACAATATCTGCCAATCTTATATTTAAAAGTAGTCAGACAATTGTCCTATAATACAATGTCTGTGTGGTGTCACACAGCCCTGTGTGCTCTGCTAAGAAGGTGATCGGTCGCAGCCTTTCAAAAACCTCTGGACACTCAATGATAATCTGCATTGTTAAGCGTTTATTGTGTGTATTTATATGTTAGAATTGACGTTTTAGGCATGCCTACAAAATCAAATTTCAAGGCAAAGTTTGAGTTTGTGACTTCCTGTTACTCACAATTGCAATGAAAATGATTCTGCTCCTGATTCTCTGGTCCTGTACACCGCACATTCACTTCACCTGCCTTTCAACACGGGTCCAAACACCCGGGTCTGAATGTGTGAAAAGGACTATCGGGTTATGTTTAGGGTTAAGGTTAGGGTTACGGATCCTACACGTTAACTACTAAAGGGTATATGGGAGGATTTTCTTCTTCCGGGTGGATCATCTAAACCATTTGTCCTCCTAATTGTCAATCATTCTGGTGATAGAGGAAACGCCTATTTAAACGTGTCTCGCACATGGATGTATTATGAGGAGGGCGGTTCTTTCCTAAAATTTGGGGAAAATCCTACTTTTAATGACATCACGCTCCCAGGATTGAAGCGTCTGTACATAGGGGCCTCGCCACAGCTCTGTGGGTGTATTTGTATAGATTACAGAGGGATGATATGCAGAATGGTGGTCTATGCTCGTCATAGATGCTGTTATTTGAATTTGACGCAGACGCAGATCCAGGCTCAGGACCATCTGTTCTAACGGAACTCGTCTCGCCTGCAGCAGCGGGAGGTTCAGTTCCTCATGGCCCACATCACACACAGCATGAACGGACACTGCTCTGAGAAAAAGGTACTTAAACTGTCTTCACATTTCAGCATCAGAGGCCAGAGGGGGATATGAATGATGATTGTGTTTCTATATGCGCAGATACGGAAGCCGCATGTGGAAAAGAGGAGGAGGGCGCGCATCAATGACAGTTTACAAGTGCTCCGACTGCTCACGGACGCAGATGTAGAGTTATAATAATAATTACAGAAATAAATAACTCTTACTAACAACAAGTGTGACTCTCGCCTGTGTGTTGTCTCTCTGCTGTTACAGGTGAGGATAGAAAATGCTGATGTTCTTGAGAATACTGTGAGGCGTGTGGAGAGCGTCCTACAGAACAGGGCACACGGTTAGTCTATGGATCTATAATAATAATAGTTAGTCATGGACCATTCCATTTATGATCAAATGGAACAAACTGAAAACAATGATAGTGCAGTTCCCCAAAATAAAATAAAAATGTCATTTTATTTGTATTACTATTATTATTATTATTGTTGTTATTTATGCTATAGATTATTATAATGATTTATAATAGCTTGACAAAAATATTGGAGTCTCAAGCTTAACACTAGTTCACGTCTTCACTTGGCTAACATAACAACATTATGAATGTGGTTTTGGGGTTATGTTATTAATGACCATGAGGTCCAATTGCCCTTCTTCAGGTGAAGGTGCCAGTGTGTGACTTGTTGGTGTATGTTTCTTTGCAGAAGTGGAAGTAATGAACCAAGAGGCCTGTGAGCGGTTTGCAGCCGGGTACATTCAGTGCATGCACGATGTGCACTCATTTGTCTCAAGTTGTCCAGAGATAGAGCCTCCAGTGGTCACTGAGCTCCTCAACCACCTCCTGGACAGCATGCCTTTGAACGAGGAGCAGCTCAGGCTCCAGGTGCCAGACAGCCTGGATGAGTTCCAGTGTTCAGGTCTGGTCTCCCCTCGTCCCTCCATGAGCTCAGATGAGCCAGAGTCAGACCTTGATGAGACCGAGTCAGAGCACGCCCACGTCTCTTCAGATGGCTCCGATGTGTTGTGTTTACCTTCCTTTCACTCCAAGTTTATGTGGAGGCCATGGTAGAGGACATAGATACAAACCTTTGATCCTTCTAGAATGGACCAAAAAGCACAATCAAATATCCTTGTACAGTATAAGTATATCTTTGAAGATGTATCATAAATGTGGATTGTGTAGGGCAGGAGAACCATGAGCCATGTATATATGTTCTTGTAATTTAGACTGTATACGTTTGTGTGTAAACTATAATCGTCTTTTTTAATTTGCGTTTGTCATTTTCATGTTCACATGTTCTCAAATCGTGCCTGTGTTAAATGGTTCCAATAGAGTTCCTTTAAAAAGATTTTGTTGGACACATTGTTTGAGAAATGTCTATTTGCATGAAGATTCACACTGCCCAAGGACCACCCACACAAGTCTGTTTTCAGAATAGTAGTTATTACTCTGCAATTGTGGACCATTTGTGTGCTGTGTTCTCTGCGAGTCGTGGGCGCGTGAAGTGTGAAATGAGTAATGTCCTTATATAGGCCTAAACTTGCAGACACATGGATCACAACTTATAATTATGTGAACAGTTAAGCAAAGAAAGACAATCCGTTTCCATATAAGACTACATCTATATATTTTTTTAAAACTGTTTACAAATATTGTCAAGACACCATTAGGTTTTTTTTTTTAATCTAGCATTGTTGAAGCTAAAATATAACCTGAGTAGCATTCATTGGCTTGTTCACAATCATTGTTAGGAAAGACCAGATTACGTAGATTCCACAACGACATTTATGAGAACCATGGATTCCTCTTAAAATAGCGATGTTTTAAAGTAACTGTGTATAAGGAACTGTGGAGGAAAGCACACGAAGCAAGAGAAAGGCCAAAACAATATCAAGAGACAAACGCTCTCCTTGTTCTATTGTGTCCCAAAATGTGTCCTCTGCCTCATGTTTTCCATGGTTTAAATCTTTTTTTCCCAGTTATATAGTTATATTTCCCTGTAAATTTACTTGTGTGTGTGGATTGTATATGTGCCTGTGTGTTAATGTACATGTGTGTGTGGAAAGTGAAATGTATTTACGGTTGTCTGTGGGTTATGGTTATTTGAGGGGTGTGGGTTAAAAGGTCAATGGGAATCTAACCATTTTCTGTGTAAATTTTTGTAGGAAAAGCGCTTAATAAATACATTTGGATTGATTGAGATAATCAGAAACAGGAAGTAGAACATAGGGGTTAACAAATTACAAACTAAAACAGGAAATAAACCTTAAAGCATGCTCCGTTAACACAATATAATTTTATTTACAAAAAAATGTCCAGAATACAAAAAGCCCATATTGCACAAAAATAAAAAGCACATATTGCACACAGAAATAAAAAGCACATATTGCACACAGAAATAAAAAGCACATATTGGTGGTAAGCTTTCAGACACTGTAGAAGTGGCTTTTACTTTTACAATTCAAGCTTTTAGGGAGGAACTTCACACGACCCATTCAGACACAAAAGGTTTGACTTAAAATAGCCAAATAAATAAATAGCCCATTGTCTAAGCATTTTCTCTCATGTGCAAAAAATAAATTAGATTTAGTCAAGTATGTGAAGAGGCAAACATTTCATGTAAACACATTAAGAATTACAGAAGCCACAAGAAACACCACATTATCTATAACCAATATCTACAAAACACTGGCCACAAAATCAGATTGTTAATCAAAATCCATTTACTCCAAATATAAATATTTCTCACATTATAAATCACTGATTCAGTTTGTGCAATTACTTAAAATATTTAATCTGTATAAATGTCGATCGGCCTCTCTTCATCTATCTCCTAAAATGGTATCAAAGGTTATTCTTAACATGACACTGAAAGGTCAGTCATTTTAACCCAATTCTTTGGTTTTATTTCATAATGTTTCTGTTGCAATATCCTTTTTTCTCTATATTATATCAAATTTATGCCATAAGTATTTTGCCACGACACATGTATTTCCCTCATAATGTTACCACAGACTGACCGTTTCTTGGTTCAATGCAGTGGTCAGCGATATTCTCCACACAACTGGTCATTGATAGTTTTTCATAGGCAGCTGAGGTTAGTGCAAAAACATCTACACTGGAATGGTTTTGGACATCCGCTTTTGTTTTTTTTGTTTTTTAAACCGGGTCCTTTATACAGTATTCTAAAATATAGTATTTATCAACTTTAAAAAAAAATCATCGTATTCAGTGGGTTAAGACCAAAACATGAATAATCACATCACTAACTTCCAAAATGTGCAAACCAAAGCAACATTCTACAATCACTCAAGCTCAACTAAAACAAAATACATTAAATAATTCACTGGGATCTTCAATCCAGAGTAGAGTAAAAAAGCATGAATCTGCAGCACAATTGAATTATCCAGGCTCCTGTGAGGCAGAAGCAGGACCGTGTTGAAGAGTCTGTCAGCTCCAGTCCAGCACCTCTGTGTCTCCCATCTCCATGTCCGGTCCGTCTCCGGCTTCTGCTGTGACTGAAACCTCTGATGCTTCTTCACAGCAAGAGCACTCCTGCACAGAACCAAAGTGACATTTGGATTAACGACTCAGTGAAGCCTTATGGTCTCACATGAAGTATAGGAAATGCCGGTACCTTTATGTCTATGACGCTGGGCAGATGGCCACTCCGTATCCAGGGGTGAACCTCTCCCAGCTCTTTCTTCTGCTCCTCTGTGAAACATGGCTGGCTTTTCTGCAGATCCTGAATCTTATCACTGTATTCTTTCAGCACTTGCTGCACATCACTGTTAGCACAGAATAACAAATCATTAGAGACAAACATTCATGAGTCATGTAAAATACGTAAGATCAAATAATTAAGTTTATCTACAGAAAATCTTACTGTATATAAATGTTTTCAGTCATAAGGTTTTATTCATTGATACAAAGTACCCACGACATCTTGTGGTAAATCCCTGATACTGCACCCTGTAAAGTTGCAGCGCGACTATACATCTTCTCAGCAGCTTATTTGCTATCATCATTTTTCAGGTGAATAAACTCCCCCATGTGTCTACAGGAGGTGCATGCCAGACTTATTGTACATGGTTTTAGTGGTAGGGGAAACCGGACCACCCAGAGGAAACCTACACAGATACCGGGAGAACATGCAAACCACACAGAAAGCCCTGGAGGTGGAATTGAATGCAGGCCCCTCTTGCTGTGAAGCACAAGCACTTAAGACAGTAATAATAATAATATAATAATAATCTTTATTTGTATAGCACTTTTAAAAACAATGTTTACAAAGCGCTGCACAGTCAGCATGATAAACACTGCTGTCATTTATTTATTTATTTTTTTAAATTTCTTGTGTAATTTTGAAAGTTTTAATGGTTTTATTCTTTTGTGTGATTTTAATGTTTTAATTGTGTTTTAATCTTTGTGTGATTTTAATGTTTTAATTGTGTTTTAATCTTTTGTGTGATTTTAATGTTTTAATTGTGATTCTGGTGTTTGTTTTATGTGATGATTTGTGATGTGGACTGTGAAGCGCTTTGTGTTGCCCTGTGTATGAAAGGCGCTCTACAAATAAACTTTGATTGATTGATTGATAAACAATAAAAACAGTCATAATACAAAGTCAAAATAATTAGATACAGAAACACAAAGCAAACAGAGCAAACAGTCTGTTCTCTCACTCACCGAGAAGGCAGCTGGTAGTTCATCATGACCTTGTCCTCAGTGTTGGACATGAGCAGCCACATCGGGTCCTGCAGCACATACTTGGCGATGTGCTCTGCTGGATCCATCTCAGAAAGACTTCCCTCGTTGCTGCTTATGGGAACTTTGGCCTTCTGGCTGCTCTGAGAGGAGTCCACGCTGCCAAAGTACTTACTACTATCACTACCTGAAAGGTTGGAAACATGTCTGTTTAGAGACACTTAACATATCAAAACATTAAGATTTAAAGTCCAGCGTCTAATCCAGTCTGAGGAAAAACACTGCAATGTAAACATGTGTTAAATACCTGAAATGCCACAAGCAGAGGCTCCACTGTTGGAAGTCCGACTGTTGGACGTCCCACTAGACGTCCCACTAGACGTCCCACAGCCACGAGACGCTGAGCCCATGGAGCCCGAAGTGGCAGACCCTGTTCCAGACAAGGAGTCTTCATGCAAAATCACATCAAGCATGTCACTGGATAACGAGTTGGCATCACTGTTGTTGCCATCACCCCTGGAGCTAATCTGCAAGGATAAATATATTCATTCTTTAATTTTTACACTGCAACAGACACATATAATGCGTTTACATAATTACTTATTACTTATGTATTATGTTTTCAATCTTTGAGGCCTTGAATGCAAATAAGTGGGGGAACTGTACATTTGAATATTTTGCATTGTCAGTGTAATACGGATTCTTCAAGTCTTTGAGGATTGTAGAGAAAACATTTACACTGAACTAAAGCAGCGCATTAACACTAGGACCGCCGTGCTCTAAACATACCTTGCACCGCCCCCTGCGGTCAGTTGACCGCTATGTATTTTGCGCTGATACAGCCTTTTGCCAAATTGATTGTTCACTAAACCAGAACTTGTTGTTGCAAGGAAATCGTGATCATAATGAAACTGTGTAAATTATTTGTCTAAATATGCTAAGTAATTGTAATTCTAGCCGAAATTTAAAAAAAAATACGATGACTTTTCTGGCTAGATTTATTTTGTAACTTTGCAAACACCTAAAATGTCGGTCACTATATGTTAAATTTGACTCAGTAACAATATGTAAATTCAAACAATATAAATGATAGTTTAGAAAAGCACGGGACCATAACGTCTTCGCGCTGCTATGCGTCTACTTCTTACGTCATCTCCAGAATGTTTTCTCTTTCCAGCCGAAATCACCGTGGGAAATATTATCTAGATAATAATAATAGTATTCGTATTGACACAAGATAATCAGGCTAGGCTACCATCGTCAATGTACAATCTTCAATTTTACACGGGGCACGTTAGAAAGACAAATTTATATATATATATATATATATATATATATATGAATGCCGTGAATGCACTATGGGTTTACGTTCAGATTTATAATATTATAGGTGTTCTCCCCGCTGTGACATCTCACCTCCGTCAGACTGTTCTCATTCAATGTCTTGAAGCACTGTCCGGGCTTCCGTGTACTTGCAGCTCTCATATTCTGTACTCCTCTCAATTCAAAACTCTTTCTCTCTCCCAAATAATAAAACAAAAAACTCAAGTCCCTGTAGAGTCTAATGACAACATATTGATACATTTTTATAAGGCGCGAAAAACCCCCGGGAAAGGTTACTATGACAACAGTCGCCCCTGCGCCATGTATCCCTATGGGGAAGCAAAAAGGGCTGTGGTTTAGAAAAGTTAAAATGCGTGTAAATCTTGTTTTCTTTACTTTTTCCAAAAACAAAACACACCAAAATATAAACAACAAGTACCCAGTAAAAGTCATAAAATTTCAACTTCTGGCGTTTTGTTTTGAATACACTAATTAGCATATTAAAGTGAGTGACGGTCAGTTGACCGCTAGGGGCGCTCCTAGTGTTAAACAATAATGTGGTTGTAAAAGGAAGAGGTAAGCTGTTGATTGGCCTACCTCACAGCTGGAAGCTTCCAGCCTAGAGCACAGTTTATCCCATGACAAACGCTCATAGACACAGGGTCCTGGTGGACCAAGGAGACTGAGAGATGGCTAAAGGGTGTAAGGATAATGAGATCATGTGTTAACACCCATGTTTCATCTAAATACAAGGAATGCTTTACTAAATCGGATAATCATGCCTAATAAACATGCCACAAATTGCACAAAGGCCTCAAATAACCCTCCACAATTTGTCTCACATTGGGAATGAAATGATTGTGGATTGTAATGGATTATTTTAGACCTTGTCCAAGCATATTCAATATTCGTTGATAGAATCCATAGGATAAATGTATAGTATGCATATAATTATGAAACCATAAGCTATTACTGAAAACAATTCAAAAATACAAATAGAAAATGCCCAAGCAGTGGCTGGTAAATTACCTGTACTAGATCCCTGTCCTTGGTATGGTTCCCACTTCGTTCTGTGGTGTTATTATGGCCTGGTCCCAGTGCTGCAGTCCCAGTACAGTCCTGTACAGACAGCTCCAGATCCAGCAGGTTGAGGGGGGAGCTACAGGGTGACTGGAACAGCGCTGGAGAGGAGTTACCCTCATCTCCATCATCTACAGACTGAGGCGTAGAAGGGCGGGACTGACTTTGCACAGCCCTGTTTGGCAGTTCAGAGGATGGGGAGGGATGGAATGACATTGTCATGGATCCTGCGTGGGAGTGGTTTGGGTTCTGGAGGTTGGACTGGCCTTGGACTTTGAAGGGGGAAGCAAAAGCACCATGTGGAGAGAATACTGATGGAGCTGAGGGCATGGTGGGGTACATAGGCTGACTTGGAACTGGCATAGGAGCAACTGGTGGATACATGTAGTTGGGTAGTATCAAAGCCAGCACTGGCATGTGTGCGGCAGGCGGGCCCAGGTTTGCTCCACAGACTGAGGCACCAGCATCAGTGCAGAGAGCTACAGAGTCTGGGTACACCGGCAGAGGGTACCCGGGCATCTCCGCTGGGTAGGCTAAAGGGAAACAGGAGTGTGCTGCTTCTGAAGGGGGCCAGGACAGAGGGGGAATCTGATGGTTGAAAAGTGGAGGTTGGTGCTGTGTGCTGGAGTGAGACGCGGTGCTGTCAGAGGACGCCACCTGCATGGCTCTTTTTGATTTGTATTTTTTAGTTCGCGCTCTTCGTCCCATGCTGCGTTTCACTCCTGGGTCACACTGCTTGGATGATTGAGAGGTTTGCACAACTGAAAATAAAAAAAAGTTTAGTTTAAACAAATATTAACCAAGGTAACTGATTGTCAATTAGTAAAATGGTGTGAAAGAAGAACATTCTGGATAAAAAGTTTGGTCGTCACCATCATTTGAAGTTTGTTCCCTCTGACCCTCCAGATACTGAGAACAATTTGGTGTGTGCGCATTGAGAGTGGAGGGCTCTTGGAAGCGATTCAAAAAGGCTAGCTCCTCTTTTTGGGTGTGAGCAGCCAGGACCTGCTTGGTCAGCCCGAGTATCTTGTAGGACTCCATCTCCTGACTGGGAGATGAGATGCCACACGGGGAAGCAGCATGGATTTGGCTGCTGTCAGGTTCTCCTGTCCCTCGAATGTCCTCTATAAATTCTGTGTGAACAAGAGACCATTTTCAAATCCAATGCTATAATGCACAGACATAACACATGAAAAAACCCACACAATGGTGTAGCTTAATAGTATTGTATTACAAGAAGTAGGCAGAAAGAGAAACTCCCTCAGCCCCACTCACACTTGCTTATTTGGCTTAGCCATGAAGTGGAAAAGGTAGACATAAAACCTTCTTGGCCAAATAGAGGTTTTATTTTCTACTGCAGGCTTATAGTTCCAAGTAATCTTGCTGTAAATGCTGATAGTGTGTCACTACAACCTCAGACACATTCAGAAAACAATTTGTCTGCTAACAATCTCAAATAATCTGTTATATGCCAAAAATTTGGAAAAAGTGTAGAACTATGTTTTCATGTATTCACTATTTTACATATTTCATGGACAGACAATTAAACAACCATATCTGTGAACAAAATACTAGAAAACAATGTAAAATTCGGTCTCATTTGATTTCATCACTCATCAGAGTAAGTGAAATAGAAACGTATAAAGGAAAAACTCCAAATGCAAAGAAAAAGCGGTCCATCAGAGTACAGTACCTGTCTCTGGGAGAGGTTTCTTGTCCCCGACATGCACAATAGTGCTACTATAGCTACACTGGCTGGTGATGGACACAACACTCTCTGCTCTGTTAGGTACAGGCAGAGGCAGTGGAGTGTCCGCTACTGCTGTGGCTTCAGCACTGAGCTTTTTATCCTGGTCACGTAAAGTGGAGAGGTCAGACTGAACATTCAACAATGCAGGTTCTGTGAGGAATCAGCACAGGAAATTCTTTAATTAGAGAACCCTCTATTTAAAATATGTATAAAAGAGAAAGAGGAAAAAGTACCTGCAGCCATCACTATGCTGGTGCACACTTTCTGTTTGTCCTCCTCAGAGTTTGAGGATGTGGAGTGAGAGACGGACTGGCACTTTCGCTTCACGGTGAGAGGAATATTACAGCTCTCCAGATACCTGCAAGTGCAGAAGCAAAATACTGATTTTACAGATAACAATTTCAATTGTAACTGGTTTGATTTTTTTTATTTAACAGAAAAAAAAGAAAAACATTATTGTTGGCAAATGCTTTACATGAAGTTCCGTTCTGTATTTTTTACCTAATTACGCTATCGAGGCAGCTTATCTGCTGGTAGGAGTGAACAGCTTGATCTTCCAGAAATGCAGATTTTGTGTCCACTGAGTCCTTCCACTGAACAGAGTCTTTGGTTCTCACCACATGTTGGTTCTTTTGCACAGATTCTAGTGGAGAAAAGACACAATTAGGGATACACAAACCACATGTTATACATGTATACAAATATACAATGGAACATACCGGATGATTTCTTGTCTGTGTTGACAGTCTGTTGCACCTGACATTTCTGGAGGTGAATATACTTGCATATTTCCTGAAAGGTTCGCTGTGAGAAGGGTCCGATTGGTTTAATACGAGTTAAATATAATTTGACAGTGCTTAAACATATTGCACATACACGCACAGGCCTTGCTTTGCAGATCTGTTCCTCCTCATCAGGGAGCATCTTGGAATTGCTGCCATTGTTATAGCTCTCGGTCGGAGAGGTCATTCTTATCAGGTGGTCGTTGCTGTTGATATTTCCATATCCACTAGAGCCAGTGCTAAGAACAGGCTAAACACACATTCAAAAATAGTCAAATTAATGTATTTCATTGTTTATTTGGTTGGGACATTGCGTGTTAGTGAATACACCTCTCCGGATTTTAGCTTTGGGCTAATTTGCATCCATTGTCCCACTTTCGCACACAAACACACACTCATTCACCCTGAACTATTATACATGTTAGCAGAGAAACCGGAGCACCCAGAGGAAACCCACACAGACACGGGGAGAACATGCAAACTCCACTCAGAAAGGCCCTGTTCCGACCCAGATTCGAACCCAGAACCTTTTTGCTGAGAAGTGAGATTGCTATCCACTCAACCACCCGTAAGTATAGACCTATAGATTATTTTATTCAGGCTAAGAGTAAGATTTCAATCGTCACCTGCAAAAGGAGACGGTGGATCTGCTCAGTTAACTCCTGTATTTCTGGATCCATCGTTTTCATGTCCCAAGCGGAGCAGGCAGGTGCCACAAACACATCTTCGTTTACCGGGCCCCTACAATAGACAACATTAGACTTAAAAACATCAAATAAGCTTTACATCAAAAAAGGCAAAATTTCATAGTTGTCACTTTTAGTTCATATTTTATTTGTATTTATTTTGAATCCCCTGTGCTCTTTCCTTCTTGTTGTCAGTCCATTGTCTTCGTCCTCAGTTCCTGTGTTTTACATTACGTTGAGTTTAGTTTTTGGATTCTTGTTTATTAAACATATTGTATTTTGGGTCCTTAATCCTTTTTTGAATAGTGAATTTTGTGATGTTTGTGAAGACCGTACTTTTCAGGAGTAGCATTTGACAAAGTAGAAAGCATAAGTTAACCTTGGAGATTTGTCTACTAATACTGTATTATATAAAGTAATGTGCGTAAAGTATTATAGTATGTGGCCATTTATAGCCAAACTACATTTCTATAGAAACAAACGGGCCAAGTACGAGTTTGTGGTGACGCAAAAACATAAGGACAAAAACAGATAATTATATTCTTCTAAATTTGTCAACACTCACATGCGAACTTTGTGCCTTCCGATGATAAAAGACACTTTGCGACTCCAAGGGTTGACGAAAGTTGACCAGCTTGTGTCAAGAGTAACGTATTCACCATTCCGTGCACAGAATCGGATGGACGAGTGGTCGAACGGCTTCCCAGCACACTGCAAAACTGCAAATAACAACAACTATTAGGCTTTTGTCAAAACGTTTAATTTCTCCTTGTGTTGTTTTGTGTGTTTTTACTCTTTCTGTGGACGGCCAGCATAATCGGCCGATCGTGTGGATGGAGATGCAGGAGGACCGGAGTGCCGATCAAGTCCTGGGGGAGGTATCCGAGAAGTGGGACAGCTCTATCAAACAAATAAATCATGTTGTATAAAGTAACTAAGAAGAACTTTTGAACGAATTGAAATATAGTTCATATGTCCATTTACTTCAGTAATTCAACGAACAATTTGAAACAGTTATGGCAAACTCAATACATGCAAAATTATATATATATCAAGCCTCCATTGGTTATAATGTTGATAATTGGGGACCATGTGAAACCCCCAAAAAACACTACAATATTATGAAAATGAAAGCCATAATCATCAACATTAGAGAAAGATTTGTCATATATAACCTTACATGCGCTAAGTCTATATCATTAAATATTTCTTAATACATCCTATAATGTGGAACTAAGAGTTGAACTTTTTGAACACAATTTGAATGTACCTTTCATCCACGTCTTGGAAAACACAACTGGGAGAGTGTGTGGTTGTAAATATGCGCTTGTCTGTGGGAATCCTGGGAGCTATTAGAAACATACATACATTATATATTTAAACATTGCATTCATTTATCTTTGAATTCAGCTTTATTTAGACCATACCATCGTAGCCTGAGTGAACTCTTTCGGCCAGCAGGAGGCAGCAGAACTGGTCCTCGGGATGTAACGCGTCCTGGACTTTCATCAGATATGGAGTCATGCGAAACGGATAGAATTGCACGTCCCCTTCACACTCCTTTCCACCACTGAAAATAAACCGGTAATATTCAGAACATTTCTAAACACAAAATGACAAAACATGCTCACATGCAAACAGTAGGGGGCAGCATAAGAACTGCAGATGAAAAGTGCAATTAAAATGTTTTCACTAAACATGATCATACTTTAGATGGTGTATGTAACGCACTATTTGGAATGATGACATAGAACAGGGGTATAATTTACATATTTTTGTCTTTTGAGAAAATCACTGTAATTGACTTGAGTTTAGATAATATCTTCAAGTAGATTTGGATTAAACCAAAACTGGGCCAAATATTAATAGGTTTATAATATCAATAAGTTTACGATTTTAGAGCAGATACGGTTTGGCAATCTTTATCTATAGAGCGCTTGGTAACACAAAGCGCTTTAAAATGAGGTATAACTAATTACCATCAATGCTGCCAGTTACTGACATAAGGATAATTGAAAATCATTTCAGGGGACACAAAAAATTGTCTCGCGGCCTGGATTTGGGCCACGGGTCTGAGTTTGACATGCCTGCCATAGACGAAGGAATTCATTTTTATAACTTGTTAACCGAGAGTTGATTGGCTGAGTGAGGGTGGTCCTCTCTTTTCACTGATCTACTGGAACTAGTTTTATGGATTTTATTACACGGATCATTTAAGGCCTGACAGTTACATATTGTAATAATCTGAACTATTATCATGATTATCATGATGCAGTCTTTCAAAATATCCCTCAACAGACATATTTATAGCGGGTATCTTAGCACCTAGCAAAATCATTAGCTGCACCAGGTGGGGATGAATAAATGTATTTGCACAAAAGGGAGATGCCACATGGGGCTTCCACGGGGGTGTGTGTCTTGTCATTTATGTATGGCTTTTGTGTGGAAAGTAGACCAGATTAGACAGTGTACGTCAGTGATGTCACCGACAGATTGGAAGGCTTTCAAAACAGGAAAGAATAGTATGAATATAAATGACTAATGCGCTGAATTAGCAGATGGTCCCAGGCTGCGATAATCTGCATCCACTCACCTGATACGGCAAAAGAAGGACTTCTCCTGCATGCAGTCAGAGGGAGAGGAGTCTGGAATATGGAAACATGCTTTTATTCAAAGGCAGTGGTATCTGTAGGTCATGTCGTATCCTAAAGCTGTTTAAATATGTAATGAGGTGGGAAAAAGCTTGATTTAGAAGCACTGCTAACAGAGTGTATTTCAGTAAAACACTTCCAAGTCTAATAATAATAATGTGACAAAGAACGTGTGATGACACCTACTGAGTTACTCATGACGATAAAGCCCCTGTACCAATTACCATTCATTACATTTCACCATCTATTTTCAGCAGCAGATTCTTACAACAACTTACTGACTTCCAGACTCTACAGGTGTACTTAATAATGGAATTCATCAATTGCAGTTGCGCCACTGCAGAATTTACATATTATTACCAACAATATCTCTACTAGAAGCTCAAATCATCTCAGGCCAGAAACCACATTTGGATCTGCCTTCATCACTCATTACTCTGATCTGCCTCCAACCTAAAGACTGTATATAGATGGAATACGATCCTGCGATGCTGACATGATTCCCAATGGGGGAGCTCTAACCTGCTTTAGCTTCTATTGACTTACATTGTAAACTTCTCTAGCTCAGTCACCTTTTGTGTCACAGTCACCTTTGTGGACTTAAAAAATAATTCCGGGATCTCCGTTATCCCCGTTATCCTGGGATTTTATTTTGATATAGTCTTTGTAAATCCAGAAATGAGCCATAAGGATTGACCCTTCATTTTAGGGGAAACTCCAGCTTGCTTTAGCGACCTTATTAGTAAATGTTGAATTCGCATCTAGCCCTGTTTTGTTGCGAAGTCTGAACAAAAGATAGTGGCTCCAGCTAAGCTTATGTTCAAATCGCCTTCTACTGCTTTCTGCGTACGCTAAGGGTGACGTCAGCACTCTGTCAAATCCCATTCCCATTATACGATCTATGCTCCAACCCCATGTAAACATTCACCACAACTACAGTCCAATGTTGTTACCTGCTCCAGTGCACATGCTCCAAGAAGGCAGGCGGTAAGGCGTGGTGAAGCTGTAGAAAACGCTCACGTCCTGCGGCGACAAAAACTCCACAAACTTCGAGTCCTTGAATGCATCTCGTTTACAGTTGAGGATGTTGGCGGCCTGGTCGGATATGTAGACAATTCTCCCCGTGGCGAGGGACACGGCCACTGCAAAAATGTCCTGTTAAAGAGACAAACGTGTAGTCAAGCCAAAAGTTATAGTCAAAATGAATGTGAGAATTGGCAAAGACGGAAACAAGGAACACACATTGTTTTTTAAGGTGTATTCAGAGGTGATGATGTCTATCTCCTCTATTGTATACGCCGACACATCTACGCCTGAAGGCTGGCTGTCATTGGTCATCGACAGCTGGTAGTACTCTTCATTGGCTGCGAGAAACAAAACGGTTTGTTAGTAATTTGGCGTAAAACATGGATAGTGCGTAATGAGAATATGTAGTAAGAAAACACATTTTTAGCAACTGTGGTTGGGTAGTTATGATTGTGTTTGGTCGTTTTTTTTAGAATACAGTTACTTTACTAAAACCAAAAGAATACATTGGGGATAACACTTATGCTGCTACAAACACAGATGTATACACACACAATTCAACGATATAGTGTTTGCACTAGAACATACAGTATTTTACCGTTAGACTTTATAGTTGCTTCTTATTATGCTAAAGTCAAATATTTTATACATAATTCTTGCTTCATCATTATGCTAAAGCTAGAGATTTTATACGTGCTTACTTTTATTTTAGTATAAAGTTATTGTTAATCTATCTGTGTCAATCTATGCTGCAACTGGTGATGAAACACTGAAATTCTGCCCACTGTGGGACCATGAAGGGATCTCTTCTTTGCTCATATAATTTTAAGCTACTTTAAGTGTTATTTTTCTATGTTATGAATAAATACGGTACAAAACTACAAAACATCTGTATTCAGTGTTCTGTAACTGTAGTGTATATCTGTTTTGTCACGTATTCATTCCATCAATGGATGTGTAACAAAATGGCCCTAAATCAGAAAAACCACACATGCTAATCCATGGTACTTAGAATCTTAAAAACAATAGACAATGTGCAAAATGAAGGTGTGTCCTTACCTTCCACCTGTTTGACGCAGCGCAGAGCGTACTTGAGCGTATTCACGGTGGTGGACTTATGGCTGTGTCTCTTCTCCGTCGGCAGGAGACGTTTCAGTTCTTTCAACGTCTTTAAAATCTCTTTCTGTGTCTTGGCTTTGGCCGACTCTTGACTACTGTGAGAGGAAGACGAGAAGAGGCGTGTGGTGAGTGAGTGAGGGGTTCAGGAGAATAGTGGGGTGTTGTGTGGTACCTGCAGCCGCTGGTGGAGGGGTGGTCCTGCTCAGAGCTCAGCAAACTGAAGGTGTTGGAGCTGCTGGGGGGAGATGGGCTGTGGGAGTTGGAGCTGTAGACACAAAAACAAATATAATGAACTGATCAAGCAATATAATACACTATAACCACATATTTGTGTTACACTTGGGTAGCTTGGGTGGACTTCCTGTGCATATGATTAAAACATTGTTGTTGAAGTCAAATGTTCTTATACTTAAAATAAAATTTTCCCAAGATATGTTGTACTCCAAAACAAATATCCATAATGCTATTTGTGGTTCTTTTGAAAAACAAGTTAGAGGCACTTTTTTAGTCCAAATCGTCCTTGTGATGATTCAAAAAGATTATTTTTAAGACAAAGACAAGATATTCAAAAGAACCCCATTTATCATTTTAACTTGAGACAAATTAACCTTTTTGAATCAGATATTCATTATATTAATGTAGGATTTCATAAAAGAATGAAACCAAAACCTTTCCCAAACCATGGTGAGGACAGCCCCCTGCTGAGGCTGATGAGACAGTGCTGCAGAGACCCCCCAATAACATCAAAGCCATACCCCATTACACATAATGTGCACTTGTTAAAGCAGTGTTACAAACATGACTCTTCACCACTCAGTTCCCACTGCTAATGGCCCCATCCTTAGCCACAGAGACAGTGCATTGTGGGAAATATTAACCCTTTGTGAACACAAATACTAGCAATTACAATGATCTTTGGTGTAATTTTATGACCATTAATTGTATCATAATTATATCACTTTGATTATTTATGAGTTTGGGATACAAAGTGGTCCATGAATAGTTGATTTGACTTTGATTTGAATATACAGCTAAAAGCAAAAGGGCCAGACTGAGAACACAAACAAAAAACTTGTAAGTGCAATACACCAGTGTCCTGACTTGCCAGACCCTCTAGTTTGTGGCACTTGTACGGTGCAGGTCTGGCTGGTCAGGCTATCATCACGGTACTGAAGGTGACTTTTTGAAGGGGTCATTGCAAAAGCCATTCTAGCTATTAATGTACTGTACAAAATACTGTACATATGTGGGTTTAGGGCCCTGGTCTAGGCTCATACAAAGGAGCGCTGTTCTAAAGTTAGAAAGCGTTTTGGACCGTTACCCTCCACAACACAATCATCTTTTTTTTTCTCTTTTTTTTAAAATCAGTGCTTATCTTGATTACTTAACTAACTCAAAAAACATAACAGCATCTCAAATATCTGATCCACTTTCTCCCATACTGTACATACATGTGGGTCAATTGTTCAGCAGACAGCGATCTTGGTGGCGTTTCAGTTCACGCTCTCCTTAAGCAGCTAAAGTCAAGCTTGTTAGCAGGAGCTGGGGGATAAAGGCACTTTCCACAGCAACTCTGGCTACTATAAATATAGCTCATGTTTAAAAATAACACTACTTGCTCTTTTATAGCCACACAAAGCCTAAAGTTAGTCATGTAAGTAAGTTAGGATGCAACACCTGGTTTTAGAGCGAAGACAGAATGGGACGACAGCGTAAGACCTGACATTAAGTTAATTTGCAGAGGCTAAAAGAGACAAGAGACACTTAGCCTTTTTACAAATAGATTTGACCTTCAGCAGCTAAAACAAAATGGGCCTGTGCTCATCATTTCAGGAACCATTTCACTTTGTCATTTTCCTGTTTGTCAGCGATCACCAATGTAGGTAGATTTGTCATTACTATGATACGAGTTTTAGTAATACACATGACGACAGCATTGTTATTGGATTGGAATTAGTAACTTAAAAACACTCACTGACACATTAACAATACCCTTGTGTTCAGTACAAGAGTTCCTTTCTTTAACAAATCTGACCACAATGGTGAATGAGTGGAAAGTAAACAGTTTAAGGCTTATATAGTTACAGTATTATTCAAAGAACATAAAAGCCTAAGACCACAGCGGTGTCTGTTGTTAGAAATTATGATATTTTACATTCTTAGAGCCATTTGGCTGATTGAGGGCTGGTTCTTTCTTGTTCACTGAAAAAGCTGATCTAAAGATGTGATAAGGGCCAAAATCAAATGCATGTGAAAACCAAGGATGGAATCAGATTCAGTTCATTTGCCATTTGCAGTAAAACCACTTTGGAATACCTGTGCAAGAGTACCCCAGTGTGACCGAACTGTTTTCAGATAGTAACTAGTTTCAAGGATTTTGGTAGATTAATTTGTTGTGGTTTCAAAATTAGGTACCCAAGCTTTAAAGACGTGCCTGTTGAAAGTGTTTCAGGGCGTGTTTAAGATGGTTCACTCCTACAGTTTGAAAGGTGCTGTGTGTTCATCTGTCTGAAATGGAATATGACCAGACAGTTTTAATTACAAACTAAGGTGTGAACGCTAAAAGTACAGTTTATGTTACAGTCATTGACGTCATACTTTGTCCCAGAGGATTCACTGACTTCCAAGGCTAAACGGGGCTCGATATCATCCATCCATCCATCCATTTTCTTCCCCTTAATCCATTTCTGGGTCGGGGGGGTGGCAGTCAGAGCTGCACCCAGTCCACTTAGCACCAGCCCCTCACTGATCCTCCTGCAGGTGGTGAGTCCACAGGAGCTGAGATCTTTCAGTTGGGGCTTTGGGCAAAGTAGGGTTAAGTGTCTTGCCCAAGGACACAACGACAGCAGTCATCAGTGGGAGTCATGAAGTAGGTCTTATGGTGGGCTTGAACCCACGACCTTCAGGCCCAAAGGCCAATGCTAGCTCGATATCAAGATGATCCAAATGAAAATAAATGGATGGCCTTAACATTCCTGCCTGCTGATGACATCAAGATGACATCAATCTTTTGGTCCTGGTTCTATCATTATTTTTAGTGTGAAAAAGAATGAAATGTTCTTTACTGGACTGGATCTTGCATTCATTGTAAATGTTCCAGTATTAGTCAGTATGTGTAAGAACATGACTTTTCATTCAAGTCCATGATCACATTACACAAGAGCACTAAGATATACAGCAGACTGTGCGCACCAGCAGCGATAAGAGACATGGGATTACAGAGACACAAGTGCACATTAGGCTGGCAGCACAAAAAGCACTGTCAAGGTTAGAAGCATTTTTTTTTTTATAATAATGCAATGGTTTTATATATTTGTATCTTTTTTAGACACTCAAAGACGCTTCACATGGCATCATTCATCCAGTCGATACACGGTGGTGATAAGCCACTAATGTAGCCACAGCTGCCCTGGGAAAGACTGACAGAAGTGAGGCAACTAGTATAAGGCTTTGGCCCCTTCAACCACCACCAACCAACACACACCAGACTCATCCTATGAACGCGGGTGACGTGTCTTGCCAAAAGATACAACGAAAGCTTAGTACTTAACAAGCACCTGATGATCCCAGAGGTCTCCCATCAAAGTACTACCCAGGCCAAGCCCTACTTAGCTTCAGAAGTCAGACAGTATCTTGCTTTCACATGCAGATGGCGCCCCAAATAACTAAAGCAGGGGTGCTCAATACGTCGATCGCGATCTACCAGTCGATCGCAAAGGTAGTATTGGTAGATCGCATTAAATAAATAAAAAATTACACATTCTAAACGAATATATACAAAAAACTCCGGGCAAAGTGGAGATTTTTGAAAACTCCGTTAATGCATTTGTGTGTAGACAGAGATAACCGGAGTTTTGCGTTCTCGCACGCCACAGTACCCCCCTAAATTCCTCTGATCACTGAAGCATGGATCATACTACCTTAAAAACTGTTCGCTGTGAGATACTCGCAGCAGCGAACATCCTCGCTCCACATCAGAGAGCAGCAAAGTGATCGCGGGGACTCACGCTCGAAAACAACTAAACCAGGACTAAACCAGGACTAAACCAGGGCTGAGGACGGGGTCAGTGCTTGTAAACATACGTCTTTACTCTGAGTGTCTTCTATGACTGTAAAAGTGCCGTTACCGGCGTCTGCATCAAAGCTCCGCCCACTTCTGTGTTTTTCCCCAACGCAGGACAGGACGTAAGAGACGCACATGTTTGGAATGTTACAAATGTGATTGATAACGCAGATGTGTGGATGCAAATTATTTTATAAACTGAGGAGGGGAAATATTTGGATTTAAAAAAAACAGGCATGGCACATGGACATGGCACCACAGTCAAATGACATCTGTGTTTTACTCAGTAATGTTTTACTGACACTAAGGTGACTGCACATGCGCAAACAACCGCTCAGTGCAGGAAAGCTAAACCACGACAAACTTGTCAGCGAGTTACCACCAATTTTCCGGACTATGCATCCCTGGCCGATTCAATTCAGTGCAAGTCATAAGAGTAAACTCGGGTAATGACAAAAAATGTACATAGGTAATTGTGTTGTGTTGTGCTATATTGGCTCATGCGGTTTTGCATGTACATAAACATACATTGTAGATATAAAGAATATTTTTTGAAATATATGATTTGCATTTTTGTAGTAGGTAGATCATTTTGACTTGATCCTTTTATAAGTAGCTCGCATGCTGAAAAAGTGTGAGCACCCCTGAACTAAAGAACTCAATTTTGAGATTGATGAGTCTCATAAATGAATCCAATGAAAGTCTTTTGGTGTTCCTTGCAGGAGTACATTTGTTCTTAACTTATCCTCATGAATAACTTACTGTATGTTTGGACTTCATGTGCAAGCTGGATTGAGGAGTCAGTTTTGCAATAACCTAAATGTTTGACATACTTCTTTGATGGTTTTGCCATTTTTTTGCAGTCTAATTTGAAACAGCATGGTTAAATATATATGTAGCAGTTCTCATCCGAATCTGGATCACATCAACAGACACTACAATCTGAAAACAGTCAAATCTTCTCTGTCTTCTCTGTCATCAGCAATTATTTCTGATGACTGATGGCTGGAAGATAATTATTTAAATCTATCTGTTGTTGTGTTTAAATCCATTGAATAAGCGATGTTTTATGAATTGGACTGAGACAAACTTAAAACCATGCTTCTCTAGGACATAGATGTAATTTGTAACATAATTGGTGTTATCCGAGCCATTCTGTAGTAATTATAGCTCTGTCTTTGCATGATTGGATCTAAAAAACAACAAGTTCAACAATCAATGAGTTAGGGTTAATTGTTGAACAGCCCTATCAGCTCCTTTCAGCTACAAAAGTCTCTGTGATCACAGGTACTAGCCCCTGTCTCTGTGATCACTGGTACTAGCCCCTGTCTCTGTGATCAGTGGTACTAGCCCCTGTCTCTGTGATTACTGGTACTAGCCCCTGTCTCTGTGATCACTGGTACTAGCCCCTGTCTCCGTGGGTCAGTGGTGAGGTGCAGTGGGATGCCTGACCTCTTGTTGCTCCCTGATGACTCCAGCAGGGCAGAGTCCTTGCTGTGGCTGAGCGAGCTGCTGTTGCTGCTGCCGTTGCTGTGGCTCTCATTGCCGTGCGACTCGGTGCCGCTGCCGCTTGAGCCGCTGCTCTTCATCTCCAGGTCGTCCTTGGGCAGAGAGCGCGAGCGGGAGTTCTTACTATGGTTCTGTTGGGACGTGGAGTTGCCCTGCCCGCTGCTGTCACTGCCCTCGGAGGGGAGGCCTAAGGTTCCCCCCCCATGGCCAAAAGGAGCCATCCTGTGCATGGAGCTGCACGATGGAGGTTCATGAGCTTCCTGGAGCTCAGGGCGGCGGTAGGGCTTGCAGTCCGAGTCCTCTGACATTGGGAAAGGTGACGATGCGATTTATAGAGAGTCAGCCCATCTTCTCCACCGGCTGATAAGAGGGTGATTTGTCTGCACAGATGATTTACCTGTTAAAAACAAACAGAATTTACCTTCTTGAAACTTCAGTCACAGAAAAGGTCAGCTCTTAAAGACGTGGCTAACATTTATGTTCCTTTGAGGCAGGGCTCCAGACTAACACTGCCACTCACCGGACTTTTAACATATTTTTACCATTCATTCATTGTTTTTTATAAGTCATATCAATTATACAATATTAAAGCTGGAGTACCTAACCGTAAGGTTCATGAAACATCATTTGTTTTTTGTTTTTGCAAACTTGTAATAATAATGAAGCGGATGGCTGAAGGTTGTCCTCTATTTTTCACTTTTCAGCCTGAAACATCTGGTTTTAAAAAGTGACAGAGGTCAAACATACATGCGTGTGAAAACTAGTTATAGAACCACATTGTTTTTTATGTTAGGTACCCCAGTTTTAATCAATCACTCGTGGCACTCTTTCCAATTTTAAAAACAATGTTTTGTCAACACAAAGGAATAGGGATAATATATGAACAAAACACTACACGGTCAAATATCAAGGCCTGAAGTTCAAAGCTGTCTGTATTGACTGACCTCGAAGCCTACAGCACTTAACCTTTGAACGCTGGTAAAGCCGCAGGAGTCTTTCTGAAGTGAAGAGCTCACAGACTGTGTGGCCTTTACAAAGAGCAGTAGGTCCTATGTCAACCTTCAAAGAGGCCCAGATCCTAATCCAACCAAAGGCACCAGAATCTCTGCGCTATTGTTGACTCTGATCTTAAACAGCAACCAGGTATTTATAGAAAGGACTAAAATAGTGATCACCTACTGTATACGCTAAAGATATCTTTGAGACAATTTTTGTCTATATATAACTAGGCAAGGCAACCTATAAGTATGCAAGGCAAGTGAAAGTGCTGAACAGAATAAGATAGAAACAACCACACAAGGCATTATAATCATAAATAATCACTATACAATAAAAGGATTAAGGATAAAATCTCTCAGTTGTATGCACAGCTAAACTGCTTTAACATGGACATTGTTAGAGAAGAAGCCTGTCTCACAGCTTCAGGAAGACTGTTCCAGATTTTAGATGCAGGAATCTGAAATGCTGCCTCCCCAGGTTTAGTTCTGACTCTGGGCAGCAGCAGGAGGCCCGTCCCTGTGCTCCTCAGAGTCTGAGTTGGTTCATATGGGACCAAGATGTCACTAATGTACTTTGGTGCGAGGCCATGGAGAGACTTGTACATTAGCAGAGCGGTTTCTATTCTCTGAGCCACAGGAAGCCAGTGCAGACTTCACACATGGTTGAGATGGAATGAAAGATTTAAAGAAAGATTTAAAGAAAGAGGTTCTCAAACAAGCTGCCAGAGACGATAATAAAGAAACAAAATCAGTTAATAACATGTCATTTGAATAGTGGCTGTTCTTCTCAGAGACCTGCACTTTACCTTTTCCTCAGTTGAAATAGGTAAGAGTCAGTGACGTGAATAATCCTTTTCCTGGCATAATAACAAAATAACACGTACAACGGAAAAAATGCCCAAAAGCGGTGCAGCTTTCCTCTCACATTCTGCCCTGGTGTGGGTGTGTGTTTATTTTCAGTATCCAAGCTGTTGTGAGGGCGTCATTTACGTGTCCAGTCAGGTTTTACGTAGGGTTTTCCAGTGACGCTCACTTTGTGGTGTGTTTGTAGCACACATTAGGAAAGGAAATCCATGTCAGGTCATTAGGAATAAGACCTATTTGCAGTTTAATCCACTTAATGTAGTCTTGTTAATGTTTCAGTCCAAGCAAGGACTGACCTCGGTAAAACTGGTGCCTCTGGTCTTTCTGAGACAAATTATAGTTCCTACCCCCTTTAGATTGCTTTACTACGACTTTGCCTCAAATTGATGAGCACCTGCTACAACCCCTCAGGTCCTTATAGGTCCAACATGTTCTTATTTTTTATTCCTTGTGTATGTCTTAAGTATATAAGAAGAAAAAACATATTCTTTGATGTCTGGACAGGACAAAGCATTTATATCACAAGTACATAAGTAAACAGCATATTATTTACACATATAGATTTTGGTATATGTTTACAAAGTTCAAGTGATGCCCCTGGAGAACAAAACATTAATGTCACCATTCTCACATAAGGGAACTTAAGGGAATACACAAGAATAATTGGAAATGAATCCTGTGTAGGTTGTCATTCAAATACACTTGAATTTATGTCGTAATATGTCATTCCTCACATCTCATGCACACAGCACACTGCCTACTGCCTGGCTACTGAGACCACGCCCCCTACTGGCACAGTGCAGGCTTCTATCACATGCAAAGAAGATTTGTAGACTTGAGCCCAAAGCACAAGACAATTGAAGGGACACAATTGAACCTGTGGACTAAACAACACAATTAATTAATTTAATGTTGATGAAATGTTTATATATTGTAAATATCACATACAAAAGTAGTCATCTAGAATATAGAAAGCTGATAAGTTAGATGCTAAAGTGGGACAATATTGTCCAAAAGTTAGGCGTATATCGTCGTATTTACTGAATGCGAGTTTAGAATACTTTATGTTGCTGTATGAATATTTTTTTTCAGACATCATGATCTGGATATAGAGATACCAAACACAAACACTGATATGTTTACATAAAAGTGAGGTGTTGAATGGAGGCTCAGCTGGAGCACTGCTGACTGATGTGAGAATAAACTATGTGGCCGTAATGTCCATTGTTTGTGTGATTAAGAATCAGCACGATGAGTTTGAACATGACATTTAATGTGATGTTTACCTGCTCACATACGTTGTGTCATTGTAATTTAAAATGAGAATCATAGTTTAACGTTCCCAAACAACAGTGGAGCAGGTATAGTCTAAGATCAGTGTGTGTTTCTCAAAGTGTTCTTTGGTTTAGTCTCATTTTAGACTTCAGAGTTTCATTTTGATTTATGTTTATCCATATTCTAGGCTTGATAAAGACTGGGCTTAGATTAGCTGGACATAGAGTTTAGTTTTAAAATGGCAATAACTTTTGCTATTGACTTCTTTAGTAGCCTATTGAAAACCAACAATATATTTAAGATCTGATAAACTGACGTCACAACTTCAAGGTCCACTTTTATGATCTCATTCACAGCAGCATTATTGTGGTTGTTAACAAGCGCGAGTGGAAAACTCGATTGCCATTCGCGTTTACAGCCATTTAAAGCCATTTAAGGCCATTTAATGTGATCAAGATCTCCAACAGCGTGACATGTTGAGAACACTGTTCCTAGGGAACATAATATAGACGTCAGAGAAGAGGTCATAATTGCTGCACAGATAGTTTGGGACAATCCACTACACTCTATGAATTAAGATACAGGTTTATCATTAGATCATTCTGATGATTATCCAAAATATGGAGGACTCTGGGGGACTGCAAATGTAAATTGGACTAAGGTGATCTTTGATACAATGCATGAAATGCAAACACTTGTTGTATAAGTTCTATAACTGTGCATATTCTTTATAAACAAACAAAATAATTCCATTAGTACACGGGAGCAAATGGCAGTATATTGGTTTTGCAACTATTTTGCCAAAAGTTCTTGTAATTTGTTGTATTACAACATCTGAACACATGCCCCCTTGAAATTAACTATCTGAAACCATTCCAAATACCCCCGGGAAATTGCTTGATAAGAACCTCAAAGGGTCCACGTACCCCTGGTTGAGAAACGCTGTACTTGACCCAGTATGATGCTCCAGTGTGGTGATGAGGACATGTTCCCAGAGCCAGACCGCTCAGAACCAGACACCGCCTTGCACCATGTGCCCTGCACCAGGCTTTATGTAAGGCATTCCTCTGTCTGTCATTTACCGTTCCATGACGAACTCTACCGCGGACTATGATGTCACACTCTCCAAAAGTTCGTGCCGCTGTGACTGTGTTCTCCTGGCCTTTGCCACAATCATTATGCAACAATGTTTCAGCGTGACGTGTTCTATAAGTTTAGCAGAACTTATTCTAATAAATGACGAGCTGTGTTATTATAGAGCAACGACACAGTGAATAAAACATGCACGTACCTCACACAAGAAGAGCGGTGGAGGACGTCAGTGTTCGCAGAGTCAAATGCCTTCAAAGTGCGGAGCTGCAGCAGGGACAGTTTATGGAAAGACAGTCTATGGAAAAGACTATGACAGTCTATATAGACAATCTATAGAGACAGTCTATAGAGTCAGTCTAAAGAGACTGTGACAGAAGCGCTTCAGGTCCCGGGACGGCCTGTGCACAATTGCCTCATTGAGGATCACTGAGCTCGGCGTCAGGAAGTATCTCTGACCTAATTCTCCTCTCCTGGCAGGAGCCCGCCTCCGCGGCTCTAGGATTGGTTGAGATGTTGTAGTCTATTTCGTCACATCTGTGTGGCCAATGACAGCGCTGGTTTCTCTGCGCGCTTCCAGCTGATAGCTCTTCACTGGGGTTTATGTACCCGCCATTCATTTTATATAAGGACTCGCCTACTTCACGGGGACACGTCCTGCGTGGCGCTGCCGGTGAATGAAGAGCTTATCTAAACTGTTATACAAGTGCATGCCCGGACTGCAGCAGATGAGCTGCTATCAGATGGCACTGCGGGACTTTATCATTGGCACTAATGCCCTTCATATCAGAGGATTTCAACCAGTGACGCCTTAAGTGAGCCTTGAGATGACGTTTGCTGTGCCTTTGAAATGATCCAACATCTCTTCATTGGTTAAAATAATGTGAAAAAATGTGAGAAGATGAGAAAGACTTTTTTGCGCTTGTTTATATATTTTATATAATAGTTTGCATTGTTAATAAAGGCAGCAGTTTCATTGTCGTATCAGTTTCAGCTGCTGGGATGCCATGTGATTGTTTTCAATGGAAAAGAGTCACACACTGCTTTATAGGATTTAACATTGTTCATGATGTTTGACTACAGAGGTCTCACACTTCTTGGACATAGTTTCACGGTCTGTCACCATGCTGATTGGACGCCTGCAGACAAGGTCAAATATGCATGAAATTAAGAACTATATTGATTCATATAATTGTGTATACTTCATATAGTGTATTATATTGTATAATGTGTATTATAATGTAATCAAGACACTATAGTCTGCCAATCAACTGCAGCACCAAATCCAGCAGCAAACACAAGGAATTATTTTATCAGTTGTTTTTTTGTCTCCATTCACATTGCCATGATAGCCATGCTAATGTTGATGGAATGTTTTGAATGAATATTTTTTAGTTTTTTGAGATGAGAAAAACAAAATAAAAGCAGTTTAATTATGCATAGATTATGCAAAATAAATGAGCAATTGATGTCCAAAATAGGAGGAAGAAGTGATGTTGGAACATATTTCTTCAGCGTATCAACATCACGGTTTCCTCCAGAGGATATACCCTTCAATTTTATTTATTCCCTATTTTTTAGACATGTATAAGTCCCACATCAAATAGAGACTAACATTATTTTATTTGGGGTACATGTGGTCTCAAATTATTCTTTTTACAAATAAACTATAAACTGCAAAAAACGTCTTGATTATTGTCTTTTACCTGATCTTGAGCATAAAATATAATATTATGCAAGAAGACACTAACTAGACTAGAACCTGGGTTGCTGGGACGTTAGCTCTACACCTTAACCGTTAGGCCACCATTTTACTCAATATGTTGAGCAGAGGGAAACGCTCTAAATCCAACAAGTTTTGGATCTCACAAAAACTTTTATCCGCTGTCTCAACTTTTCAAAGGCGTCCCGATATAAATCCTCGTTTTAGTCTTTGTTTTGTAATTAATGATTTGAGAGTCATATAAGACCTTTTTTAGTTCTGCGCCACATGTTATATTACCAGTGAGATTAGCCGCGAGGAGTTCTGGCAACCCGATCACCGACTTCCATGGCTCTTTCTGATTGGCGAAACAGCGGCGGGTGGGACATCACATGAAAACAATAACAACTTTTACTGTTCGTAAAACGAATTATTATATTCTAATATCTCGGCTGAACTACTGTCATCAGTTAAAGCTGTATTCGAAAAAAGAATGATTTAATAATGCCTTTTGAAATGACTTGACATGCAAATATTACATATTGTTACTTTAATAATAAATTAAACTTAAGGCGCACCTCCGTGAACAAATACTTCTGTTATATAAAGCTTTTAAAGAAAAAAAGACAGGTCTTGTGGTCAATACTGACCAGGTTGCTGATCAGCTTAGATCACATTTTTGATTTAAAAAGAAAATATATTTTCAATATCTCTAAACTGTACACTTCACCCACTTTACACATGCCTGTTGCCATGGATACAAACAGATCATGTATCCATGGCTGCTATGGTTGCCATGGATACAAAGATAATTATGTGATGTCACATTCTAGAATCATTTGAGATTCAAAAGGCCAAAGCAGACCAGGCCGGAGCCAAAGGACAAAAACGACAGCAGACATCAGTGGGAGTAGTGAAGTAAGTCTTGTGGTGGGCTCGAAACCCACAACCAACAACCACTGTTGGGTCCAACTTGTCCCAGCTAATACTGCTGGTTTCAGGAATGATTACAGGTAAGTGTGCAACAATGGCCATCAGTAGTTTGTCTGAAGACAAAATCCTTATTAGGGATGTTTTAGACAAATGGAAAGAGGCAGAGAGACAACATGATATATCAGAGAAAGACTGGCTGTTGAAACAGGAGTCCTTTCTGGCTGATATGTCAAATATGACAGAGGTGCCATGGGCACAAAGTGAGCGTGATTGGCTTGAGAAAGAGCAAACTTATAAGAGGCAAGTGGATGAGTTACTTTCGTCAGTTGAGGAAAGATTGGAGGAAGGAGACCATCCTTCTCTATATGAACTCAGAGAGCTCTTCTGTGAAAGACAGATTCATTTAAACTGCCGAAAAACCCAATGGCGTCAAAAGGACGCCTGGTACAAAAGGGGCAAGTTATCAGATAAAGAAATTCAATTTCGGAAGGACAGGAATTACATTCTCAACAAGGAATACAGAGACTACCGCGAAAAATGGATGCATTTGTTCAGATATAAGCCAGCACACACCAGCCAGGTAAAGCCAGATGTTGGACAGACGGATGAATTCGATGGACAACAAATGGAGAAAGATTTGCTGCTGAAGTCGCCTTTGCACGAGCATCTGAGAGAAGACTGTAAGAAACAGGAACAAGCTCAGGAGCAGAAACAGGAACCAGAGCTAAAGCAAGCTCAGAAGCTTGGTTTGGACCAAGAAAAAAGATACGCAGAAATGGAGAAAGATTTGCTGCTAAAGTCGGCTATGCATGAGCGTCGGAGAGAAGAGCTAAAGCAAAGCGAGCCCATAACAATCAGGCTTGGGGAGAAGAGAAAAGTGATGCCCAAATGGAGGCAAATTTTCTGCTTAAATCGGCTTTGCATGAGCGACGGAGAGGAGAGCGGAAGAAACAGGAGAAGAACAAGAGAAGGTAAGAAGCAGCAAGCTTGCAAAGAGAAGAAAAGAACAGCGGAGAAAGATTGGCTGCTGAATTCGCCTTTGCATGATCATCAGATCAAAAAGCAAACGAACCAGGAACCAGAGCTGGAGCAAAGCGAGTCCACAGGAATCAGGCTTGGAGAGAGGACAAAAGTGATGCGCCAATGCATAAAACATAGAGTCAACAAGAGAAAAACAAGAAAAGGTCAGGAGCAGCAAGCTTGCGTAGAGGAGAATAGTTTCTAAATCACTTTTGGATTAATTGGATTGCTGATGCCTCACAGGCAGAAGGCTTCCGAGCTCTAAAAGGCGACATTCTGAATGGGTGAAGGGTTCCTCGATATGAAGTGCTTTGAGTAGAAAAGCACTAAATATCATTTACTGATTGGACTAGCAATGGGAGTTTAATTCCTTTTTAGGAAAAAAGGAAAGAAAATTCTCTAATGCTCTTTTTGCATTGGAATGCAAAAAGAGCATTCTCCAAACTAATTGCTTTAATGTACCTTTGAGAAGAAGGTAAATTAAAGCAACTAGCGGTGGAGAGATGAAACATGTGAACAAAGTGTAGTTGCTTTATTCACATGTTTTGGCAGCAGAGCTGCGAGCCGTCTTCAGAACTGCAGCCCGCCTTTTTGACGTGTCTTTTATCGGCTGATTGTAAGGTAAGTGTTTATTTCAAACTTGTATTTTCTGCTGAGTAATATAAGTTTGAAATAAACACTTACTTTACCTTACAAGCTGATAAAAGACACGTCAAAGGCATGATCAGCCTGATCGACCGACCAGGTCGCTTTCTCTCTCGTCTGGTGGTCTCTGACATGGTCAACTTTAGAACTTTTATAGATTTTCTTGTTCTGAATTTTCTTTCTTTGTCCTTTTTTGGTTTTCTGTTTTTCTTTTGTGGAAGGAAAACAGATCACTGTGTACAGCAGTTGTTAGCGCTTGTGCTTCACAGCAAGACGGTCCTTGGTTTGATTCCACCTCTAGGACCTTTCTGTGTGGAGTTTGCGTGTTCTCCTTGTGTCTGTGTAGGTTTCCTCCGGGTGCTCCGATTTCTCCTACCATTAAAAAACATGTACAATAGTTCTGCTGCATGGCCATAACTATGTGGAGTGAGAGGACAATTGTAAAGTGCTTGTGTTTCTGGTCTGTGAAAGGTGCTATATGAATAACAATTACTTACTTAAAATTACTGATTGAACCGTCAATGGGCAACAGTGTAAAGTTTAAATTCATTTTGCGGACCCGCCGGGTCATTCAGACTGATCACATTCCCTCCCACTAGGTTATTTATGGTGTTCTGTTTTCCATACAATGAATAAAGAAGAAGAAAGATTGCTCTGTTTTTCAATGTCTGATTTCTTGCATGATTTGTATTTTAGTTCATATATAGATAGTTTTCCACTGACGTCACGCACTACCCACAATTCCGCAGTTCACCATTTTGGGAGTCTTATATTCAGAGATGCAATTTGACTGTGATGCTAAGTCTATATAGGCGCCTCGAGCCTCCCATCTTAATGAGAGGGGGAGGAGTAGGAGGGGGGAAAGGGTGGTAGACAGAAGTGATTTGCGGCCTGTGATATCAACTGTTTCGTTCAAAATAAAATATTGGTTGAAAGAAATATTGCATCATATACATCATGACGTTTTTTTAATTGTAAAACTGTTAAGTGAAAGTAAGCCATTTCTGGGAAGTCCGCCTTTCATATGGATCCAAATCTCCGGATTCTCAAAGGATCTTGCCTCACAGATTACAGTACTCCAGTGTATCAATATACTTGACAAATTATCAGTGACAAATGATACGTGCAATATAAGCTTGACTCTCAAAATGCCTTTCGCACATGATGGAAAACCATGTATACGTATCATCCTTCATCGGCACCTGTGGACTGTCTTCCCTAGTCCTGGGAGTCGCCTCAGTCCTGCACCGCGTGGCCTCAGTCTTTGTTCTACGATCCGCGTCCTGGATCTAAAGCCCATCCGACAGTGGGAGCGGAGCC